AATATATTATTACATTTGTGCATATATTATTAGCTTTAAGCTAAGTGTACAAAATATAGCTCTGTAATAGAATATATTATTACATTTGTGCATATATTATTAGTTTTAAGCTAAGTGTGCAACATATAGCTCTGTAATAGAATATATTATTACATTTGTGCATATATTATTAGCTTTCAGCTAAGCATGCAAAATAGAACTCTGTAATAGAATATATTATTACATTTATGCATATATTATTAGCTTTAAGCTAAGTGTGCAAAATAGAACTCTGTAATAGAATATATTATTACATTTATGCATATATTATTAGCTTTAAGCTAAGTGTACAAAATATAGCTCTGTAATAGAATATATTATTACATTTGTGCATATATTATTAGCTTTAAGCTAAGTGTGCAACATATAGCTCTGTAATAGAATATATTATTACATTTATGCATATATTATTAGCTTTAAGCTAAGTGTGCAACATATAGCTCTGTAATAGAATATATTATTACATTTGTGCATATATTATTAGCTTTCAGCTAAGCATGCAAAATAGAACTCTGTAATAGAATATATTATTACATTTATGCATATATTATTAGCTTTAAGCTAAGTGTGCAAAATAGAACTCTGTAATAGAATATATTATTACATTTGTGCATATATTATTAGCTTTAAGCTAAGTGTGCAAAATATAGCTCTGTAATAGAATATATTATTACATTTGTGCATATATTATTAGCTTTCAGCTAAGCATGCAAAATAGAACTCTGTAATAGAATATATTATTACACTTGTGCATATATTATTAGCTTTCAGTTAAGTATGCAAAATAGAACCTTTTAATAGAATATATTATTACATTTGTGCATATATAATATATTAGCTTTCAGCTAAGTGTGCAAAATAGAACTTTTATGAGTATATTGCTATACATATGTTGATTCTTTGCAATGTTGTACAACATATATTTATTTGGTGATGGTGAAGGTCAAATGTAGCTAAATCGCTTTATTATTACTATTAATAGTAATAAACTCAAAGTGTCTACATCATTTACTTAAATTCTTGAGACAGTACATGTACTCTATTTTTGGCCTAGTGCTAAATGGGCGTGGTTTTGAACAATTCAGAGATATCGCATGGTACTTTCCGTCATCTGTGTGGTAAACTGACTGTAACATTATATATAAACTTTTGCTCTGTGTACTTTATGTATATTTCAAATTAAATAAACCCATTATGCTGATCAGTCTGCGTGTCTTTGATATAAGTAAATGAAACACAAAACATGTTTTCATATATTATAGTTGTTGATGAAATGAACGTGTTTCCGGGCATGGGTTATATACTGGCTTTAGGATTACAAAGGTTTTAAGCGGTTGCTATTATTGGAATCATTGTTGTGAAGCGCCAATAATAGGATTTTATACTCAGTAGGCACCTATCTGTTAATGTCAACTAACGTGTCAATTATTTCACCCACACAAATTTTACCAAGAAAATGAATGCATGTTCCAAATATAAATTATTTTGGTTTAATATATGACCCTGGGCACTTACCTCTTTTAATGTACATATGTTATATACTAGTGTGTGTAATGTATCCTTGGTAAAGTGGATAATTTATATACCCTTGGTAAAGTGGATAATTTATATACCCTTGGTAAAGTGGATAATTTATATACCCTTGGTAAAGTGGATAATTTATATACCCTGGTAAAGTGGATAATTTATATACCTTTGGTAAAGTGGATAATTTATATACCCTTGGTAAAGTGGATAATTTATATACCCTGGATCAAGTGGATAATTTATATACCTTTGGTAAAGTAAATAATTTATATACCCTGGGTAAAGTGGATAATTTATATATCCTAGGTAAAGTGGATAATTTATATATCCTAGGTAGAGTGAATAATTTATATACCCTTGGTAAAGTGAGTAATTTATATACCATAGGTAAGTGAGTAATTTGTATACCCTGGGTAAAGTGAGTAATTTATATACCCTGGGTAAAGTGAGTAATTTATATACCCTTGGTAAAGTGAGTAATTTATATACCCTGGGTAAGTGAGTAATTTATATACCCTGGGTAAAGTGAGTAATTTATATACCCTGGGTAAGTGAGTAATTTGTATACCCTGGGTAAAGTGAGTAATTTATATACCCTGGGTAAAGTGAGTAATTTATATACCCTTGGTAAAGTGAGTAATTTATATACCCTTGGTAAAGTGAGTAATTTATATACCCTGGGTAAGTGAGTAATTTATATACCCTGGGTAAAGTGAGTAATTTATATACCTGGGTAAAGTGAATAATTTATATACCCTAGGTAAAGTGAGTAATTTATATACCCCGGGTAAAGTGAATAATTTATATACCCTAGGTAAAGTGGATAATTTATATACCCTAGGTAAAATGGATAATTTATATACCCTGGTTAAAGTGGATAATTTATATACCTGGGTAAAGTGAATAATTTATATACCCTGGGTAAGTGAGTAATTTATATACCCTGGGTAAAGTGAGTAATTTATATACCCTGGGTAAAGTGAGTAATTTATATACCCCTGGTAAAGTGAATAATTTATATACCCTAGGTAAAGTGGATAATTTATATACCCTTGGTAAAGTGGATAATTTATATACCCTGGATAAAGTGGATAATTTATATACCTGGGTAAAGTGAATAATTTATATACCCTGGGTAAGTGAGTAATTTATATACCCTGGGTAAAGTGAGTAATTTATATACCCTGGGTAAAGTGAGTAATTTATATACCCCTGGTAAAGTGAATAATTTATATACCCTAGGTAAAGTGGATAATTTATATACCCTTGGTAAAGTGGATAATTTATATACCCTGGATAAAGTGGATAATTTATATACCTGGGTAAAGTGAATAATTTATATACCCTGGGTAAGTGAGTAATTTATATAGCCTGGTTAAGTGGACAATTTATATACCCTTGGGAAAGTGGATAATTTATATACCCTGGGTAAAGTGGATAATTTATATACCCTGGGGAAAGTGGATAATTTATATATACCCTGGGTGAAGTGAATAATTTATATACCCTGGGGAAAGTGGATAATTTATATATCCTGGGTAAAGTAGATAATTTATATACCCTGGGTGAAGTGGATAATTTATATACCCTGGGGAAAGTGGATAATTTATATATACCCTGGGTGAAGTAGATAATTTATATACCCTGGGGAAAGTGGATAATTTATATATCCTGGGTAAAGTGGATAATTTATATACCCTGGGTGAAGTGGATAATTTATATACCCTGGGGAAAGTGGATAATTTATATATACCCTGGGTGAAGTGGATAATTTATATACCCTGGGGAAAGTGGATAATTTATATATCCTGGGTAAAGTGGGTGATTGATATACACAGGGTAAAGTGGATAATACCCTGGGTATTGTATATTAATTATATATGTGTAATATACCCTGGGTATTGTATATTAAGTGTATATGTGTAATATACCCTGGGTATTGTATATTAATTATATATGTGTAATATACCCTGGATATTGTATATTATTTATATATGTGTAATATACCCTGGGTATTGTACATTATTTATATATGTTTAATATACTCTGGGTATTGTATATTATTTATATATGTGTAATATACTCTAGGTAATGTACAATATATATATATGTGTAATATACCCTGGATATTGTATATTAATTATATATGTGTAATATACCCTGGGTATTGTATATTAATTATATATGTGTAATATACCCTGGGTATTGTACATTATTTATATATGTGTAATATACTCAGGGTATTGTACAATATTTATATATATGTAATATACCCCGGGTATTGTATATTATTTATATATGTGTAATATACCCTGGGTATTGTACAATATATATATGTGTAATGTAGCCTGGGTATTGTACTTTATTTATATATGTGTAATATACCCTAGGTAATGTAGGTAATCATTTTATATATGCAATATATATTGATTATGGAGAAGACAGTAATTAAAATCCAAACGACGAGTTTGCAACTCGGGGTTCGTGAAGCACATTTGACTAGCAAAGTCATGCAAAGGCTCAGATTCGATTAGAAATCATATGTCAAAGTAGGTTGAAAATACCTTGTAAATGCATTGAGTAAACTATTCAATCCACCCTTGAATTTGACACAATAGTTTAATCAAAGACATTATTTTTTTCTAATGTCCTTGGTTTAATTAATGATATTTTAACGAAATCGGGAGGACTCCAGTATCGATATAAACGGTGAACATTACAGTGACAAGACACAAGACTGTACTTTGCTTATAAACGTATTTATACAAAAAAAATTAACAGCCGATCATCAGCATTAATTTAAATATTCAATAGTGATTGGTTCTAGAGCTAACATTATCTACTCCATAATGCGCACGCGCATGCCTTTACGTAACATATCAACTGCAAACCGCCCACACATATTCAAAATGAGACAGAGTAGAGAATGTTGAACTGTCTCTATATTTTAACTAAAAACAATCCACAGATATCATTTACATCTATAAGACATGAATTATTAACTACCTAAATGACATGCTTAACATTTATCTATCCCTTTCTGTCTCTCTGTCTCTGAGGTGTTTGCGTTGTGTGACATGAAAGCTGTATGTAAATGTAATCCCACTATCCTTATTCCAACTCCCTATGGAAATAAAGATAAATAAAACATTACGAATTTTTAATAAGCATACACAAAAATCTACAAATAAAAAAGATAACAATTATTTTTCAAAGTTCTATTAGATGGGCACCTCGTAATTTTGCCAGTTTTGAATCGGAACAAGAGATTTTGCATAATTTTTATTGGAATTAGATCACTAAACTTTCCACACTAAGCTAGGGGGCTCGAAAACAACATTCCAAAATGGCGCACGCCTGACAGTGATTACGTTCGTACTTGATTTACAGTAAATAACAACGACTGCAATATTTGCCTAATAATATATGCTGCGATGTGTTTACTGGTGGGAACGACTGGTGTTGGTAAGACCCTGTTGTTGAAGAGACTTCAAAATATCCTTTACATTTGTACTGATTGCTTTTTGCAATCAACATTAATTGGATGTCGTGAACTTTGGTGGACCATGGAGCTAGCTCCATGGGTGGACCAAGACACGAATGGTATATGTAGGGTACTAGGTGGCGGGTGGGGGTGTCATAGTTATTTGAGGGCTGAAAATTCAAATAAATCGATCAGTTCTATTTTCTCTGCGATTTTATTGCTATCACTCTCAGGTGACTGTACTCGTAGTATGCGATTTGCGTGCTTTGATGAACACCTCTAGTGTAACCACAGTCACTTGGGGGCTGGAAATCAATAAATACTAATTTAAAAAAAAATCTTCCGCTATATGTATATAGATAAACAAGTTGTGAAACATGGCGGCACCTAGTAAATCGACACCTTGTCGGTTTCAAATTTCGATTTCTTACCTTAAAATGCGCAACAAAAATTTTAGAGGGGATCGGGTATTACGTTAATAAACATTGTTCATAATCGCTAACTTGGTTTTATTCAAAACTGCACAAATCCCGCGTTTTCTGATGATATCCGACGATTTCATGAACGAAAATGGCCAGCAGCCAGAATCAAGGGGGATTCACACAGAGTTCTGGGTAAATCAAGTGCGCTTACTCATTTTCAGCCAATCAGGCGTGCCGTAACAGCGAGTCTTACATCGTCATGCCCCAATGTTACCGATATTTAGACAAACCATAGACCTTAAAAGTTCTATGGACAAACTGCGTAACGATAATGCTGTTTCTAAACCAACAAGCTTTGTAGATTTAATAAACATCTAGGACTTGTCGCGGCACGTTTCGACCAAAAACAATAACATTTATATATCAAAAGCTCAACCAGATGAGTGTATTCGTTAGCTTACATATTCTTTTACATAAACTTTTGTGAATAAATTTCACAGGGCAATGGAACATACATGCATCTCACAAAGCAATAGCAAGACACATTTTAAAGTTTTTCATTGACTATGACTTGGTAATTGTTTAATTTGCATTATATTAAATGATGTTATTTTTCCTTGACATTATAAACATGCTACAAACAAGTCATCATTTGGTGGTATTACTGAGGCACCTGCTACTATACCAACTGTAAGTTTGTTAAACTGCCAAATATGGGTATACCATGACATATTGCATACTTCATTAATATTTGTGATTAAAATTTAATTGGTACTTTTAATATACGGTTGTCAGATTATGGCAATTGGTGTAGATGTGTGTACACTGCCAGTTATAAAAATAATTATATGGAGTTGATTGTACAAAATGGAATTGCAATTTGTTGAATACCATTGCACTAAATGACAAATTTGATCACAATCTGTTAATTACCGCTGTACTAAGTGGCCAATCTAATCACAATCTGTGAATTATCATTGCACTAAGTGGCCTAATCTGAACACAATCTGTGAATTATCATTTCACTACGTAGCTTATCTGATTGCAATCTGTGAATTATCATTATTACCATTGCACTAAGTGGGCCAATGTATGCCAGTCTAAGTGTAACAAACTTGCATATGTTCATGATCAATGTTTTAACCTTGTAGATTGGCACAAACCTTGTGAACGTAAATGTCGGTAAGAAAATTGAATTGACAATTCGTGAACTGGGAGGATGTATGGGACCAATATGGCATAATTATTATAAAGAAGTGTCATCACTAATGGTAAGCTCTGTTCACAGGAAAATTTGTTTCCTTGAGTTAAAACATTAATTTGCAAACAAATCTAGCACAGTGGCATGTATGTGTAATGCGTAAAGCATTGAAATTCATTTCTGAATCAAGTAAAACATAGATATCATTTTTATTGTTCTCTGTGTAAGTTTTAAGTTCGTAAGAACACAGAAAAGCAAATTCCTGATTTAGGTGACGTATGTATCTAAAGCCATAATCTGAAATCTATGTCTATATCTGAGGTTTTTACCATATACCAAGCATGGATGCCTAATAAACACCATTCCTAATGAGCTATTGACTGCAAATCAGTGTCAATAACCAGGAGATGATATACAACATTTTAATAACCAATGAATGAAGTGATTTCTTTCTATGGTACAGCTTTAACTGTAGAAAACTTCCTATAGCATGTGATGATTTATATAATCTGAATTGTGAATAAGGTACAATGACACCATGTATAACGCCTAGGCCACCATGGGGCTTCAACTTAATGAAGGTTGAATTTGTGCCAATTGAAAAATACATATCTAAGGCAGTATGAGGCAATATGCCAAAACAATATGATCAAAATTGGCCTTGAAAATTTGTGCCCTTTGAATTCTGTAGTTTAAGCCTTCCAATAGTGTGTGTATCACTTTCTACAAAGTTTATGCACAGTCCCTCTATAGAAGCATTGCATAAATGAAGGCAGTTATGAAAGCAGTCTAGTTTGGCTTGTTCATTTCCAGTATAAATGCAAATTTAATGATTCTGAAGGTTTTCAAAGTGAACTGCTGATAATTATGTTGTGCTTTTGTTTTAACAGTTCATGATTGATATTGGTAATCCTTGTCAACTGGCCGCAGCGTGTATACAGTTACTGACAGTGTTGTCACACGAACAGCTTCATAATACCACTGTACTCATACTTCTAAATAAGATGTGAGTTTAGAATATTTATGCTTTCGTGTGATGTATGATTACTTGGATAATGATGAAGCAAAAATTACAAGTTGTAAAAACTCATTATTTATGCATACATTATTCGTATCATGTGATAGTTTACTGTCAAACGAATGAGTACCATTTGACTCATTATTTATGCAAAAATTCCTCTGTATCATGTGATAGCCTATTGACCAATGAATGAGCATCATTTGGCACTGCTTGCAGATTTAATTCAAGTATTTTGAAAATTTGCTAAACATGTACATATTTTTTGTATCCTGAAGTATGCGGCAATATGTCATTGAAACTATTACTGCAGTATTTGCTTAATTCAAAGAAACATGTCATGTTTGAAATATGGGTATTTGGACTTCTCATTCCTGCATTTGTATTAAGATGAGAAAGCTTTTTTTTGAGCACAGCATTCTTCCAGTGTAAAGGTTTCTTTCATTCAGCTTAAAACATTTTTTTTTTCCAACAGAGATTCTCCTTGTGCAATGAAACGTGTTGAACTTGACTCACTAATTAGAATGGATGAGATCATTAAACATGCCAAACAGCCAATCACAGTGATGGAGATTAGTGCCAGGGAGGGGGAAGGACTGGATGAAGTTATCAAATGGCTTGGTGATAATTACAAGCCATCAACTTGAAGAATTAGAATTCTTACTGTTTGGTTTTATTGATGTAATCTTCAGTTGCAATTACAGTGAATGGCAGAAACCTATTATATTTTGTTATAAATCAAAATGGCTGATAGAATTCAACCAATCAAAAAATGGTATTGTGACATCGTTAGTTTTATTTAATATTAATGAGCCAATTATCCAATCAGTAAGTAATTCATTTTGAATAATTGGGCGATTGGAGTTGCTACATCACTTGTGTATTATGTTGAGCTCTTGAGCCAATCACTATTAAATATTTTAAGTTTAATGAAGCGGAGGATCTGTATTTATATTTTTATAAATGATAAATGTATTTATAAACTAGAGGTACACCTTTTTTGACATTCACTGTATATTTTTCAATACTGTAGTATAAATTTATCGTTGAGGAAAACAAGAAATGTATGTATTAGAGATCATTCATAAAATGTTGTCACTGTCCTATCACCTGCCTATAGAAAGTTTGCGAATGAACTCAGTTTTTCATTATCAGCCAAAAATATCCAAGTAATTTACGAGTGGCTTTCTTTAAATTGGGCTATTCTGTGAGTCACTGTTCAAAAGTACACTACTATTGACCCCACACAAATGTGAATGAATCATTGGGCTAGACTGATTAGCGTTATTCATTAAAATTATAGCATTGTATTTCAAACAGTGACCTTGCATGAGATCTCTTTAAATAAAAGCAGTGGTTTACATCACAGTTGTGTTACATGTAAAGGACAGTTTGTAAGGCATCATCAATGTTATATATAGTGACAATCATTATTACTGTACAGTTGTATATATTTTGTGCAATAAATATTTTATATACAAAATTTAAAAATGCTGTGATTTTCCATTCAATGAAAGAAAATTCTATTGAAATTTGTCTAGGTATGTTGTTGAATGCATCCCCATTTAACCATGTTTTGTCAGCTTTGAACGCACATCAGTGAAATCACACAAGATCCAATTTAAAACTCACCAAATGCTTCTCAGCCAATCAGAATGCTTCATTGCACACTTTGTCTAAACTTAATGTTAGATTTTTGACACAAGTCAGACCTTTGTTCTCATTGCCTGGGAACTTTTATAAGTCTTTGTTCATGTGTATTGTCCTGGGATTTTTACATAGGTCATGTGACAACCATGACCTAGATTTACTGTGCCAAGAGAAACCATGAAGGTTGGGGTGTTCCAAGAGACACTACACTTTGAGCTATATAACGCTATGCTAGTCATTGGGCTACATGTTTCAAGTTACATTATGATGGTTTATTATGTACATCTTTCTTACAGCATCCACTTGCCACAATTTCAGTATGCAAATTTTTTGGGAACAATCACTGAAAACCACTGGGCTAATGTACAGATTTGTTTAGGTTTTGGTTGAAACCATGCATATAATTAACCTAATTTGCATAATGATTAGTCAATTTTCGACTCTTCCACTGATATCTCAGGTACTAATCATCACATTTCAATGAAACTTGCATAGATACATAGGACGATGTACAGAGAGATATGTGAAATATTAATTACTTAATTTGCATAATTAATCAATTTTCAGCTTTTAATATTTCAAGTGCTATTGCTTTTCAATAAACTTAGTACATAGATGCTCTAGAAAAATCCAAAGACCTGATTAATTTTAAGTAAAATGTGTGCATATTAATCAACTAATTTGCATAATTAGTAAATTTTTGGCTTTTACACTGATATCGCAAGTACAAATTATCCTATTTCAATGAATCTTGGTACATAGATGATCTAGGACAATGCACAGACCTGCTCAGTTTTTGATTAAAATCAGGGCATATTAATTACCTAATTTACCACTTTTACACTGAATGTACTAATTCCATTTCCATGAAACTTGGTACATTGATGCTTCAGAACAATGTACAAACCTGCTCAGTTTTGAATTAAAATTGCTTAATTTGTACCGGGTATAATTCATTTGGTTCATTGACGTAATCCACAGACATGATTAGTTGATGAACATGCATATTGATTATCTATCAGATTAGATTTAAACGGCAATTACCACTAATGACATAGGAAATGTTTCATCCACTCTTCTCTTACACTTGATTTGCTTTTAAACCCACTCCCAAAACCTATTTGACAATGCATCTAGTTACTCATAGACAGATTGTCAGACAAGTTTCTATCAGTGGTAGAGCAAAGATACCTATGATTTGTTAACGCAAGGAATCTTCAAAAAGCATGGACAATTCTGATGGAAAACGCTGCTCTGATAGACAAGGGTCCGTACAAACATCAAAAGTTCTGATCAGAGTTTCTACACTTAACTTTCTTGTATTAAAAGAATCAAGACAGACAAGGACAACTAAACCATTGCATTCTGCTAGACTGATCATTATCAACACTACACTATTTTATCGGCAGACACAAATGCTTATCTGACTTGTTCTCACTTGGGTAAACTTGAGGACAGAACCTCAATGTTTTCGGAAAGATACAATATTATAAACATAGAAGTGGCTTACAATTTATGCAGCAAAGTTCCAACTAAATCACTCACCTTTTTATTCTAGTAATTTTGGAGAAAAATAGGGAAGGGGTGTTGAAAAAAAATGCACTCAGCTTAGTAGAAAACTGCTTATTAAATGATTGTAGCTTTTATTGATAATGATACAATGTAATTTTATCTCTGAAAACCATTCGATATTTAGATTCAAGTAAAATAACAATAAGGATGTATACCAGTAAACCATGTATGGTAAATGTATGACAAAGCTCCCATAGTAGACAATGGCAGAAATGACCTACAATCAATACTAATCTACATAAATTAGGATTTTTATGGACAAACTATTATTGAAGTCATACAAAACTGAAATGGATTGTATGTGAGAAATAATGAAATCATGTCTATTGCATAACAACTGACAATGATAATGATGGCAGCTCATAGACTTCACAGGTACATTGAACCATCAAATTTTAAAGTCCGTTTTCAAATGAAATTGACATAACTTAAGACTTCATGTTTCAAGAAGTTATTAAGTGAGCTATGTTTTCAGCCAACAGGAACTATTTTATAGAAGGTGAAAGGGTTAGTTAAATGGTGGATTGATACAACATGCTTTCATGCAATTACAAATATGGTAAGTGTGGTACTGCAGAATACTTTATTTGATGGAACAGGGATGATTAAAATTGTCAATTATTAGTGATAATTTACTACAAAAAAAATCCCAGAAAAAATTAAACAAAATATTGATTGATAAATAAATCTATCTATCTATCTATCAAGTTAAAATAGAACACACCTTGTGTCCTTAAACAGTGTATTACTGTCATGACGTTTCCGGTTATACATGTGATAAAGATATAACTATGGAACTTGTCATAAATCACTCTGTATTGTATTAGTTGAGATATATTAACCAAACTGAAACTGTCATCGACATAACACCTCCCCTGATACCTTGTATTCTTCATTACGACAAGAGAGATTTACAACTAAAATAATCTGCAGTTGAATACATTTATGATTAATGACGTGCGGTGAACATGAAATTATTGTTATTCTATGGGAACTTGATGAGAAGTTGTGACAATATGAAAATGATCATTTGATATTGGCAGAGAGATGTCTCATCAAGTTAATGTGCATATCTGTAGTCAGACCACTGTGGAATTGCAACCACAACGTCCAGAACCATCGTCAATCATCGTCATCTGAAATATGACATAAAAGAAGTTCAAGAACTATGCCTTGGTAAAACACAGACTATGCCAACTCAGCAGGACAACTATATTATTATGACGGTTCCCATCAGGAAAAAGTCAGGTTGTTTTGTTGTGGAAATGAATAGTTAGCCAATTAGTAAGAACAAACACAGATTATGAGGAGTATAGCAAGTGTGGAACACAAACAAACAAACAAAATTTGTATTGTCAAGAGTATCATTTCTGCTGGGCTGTACCAGGTAGGCTAGGTCGAGTTCAAATACAATGATTACTAAATGCTAGCTGGCTAACTCAACATTTAAGTCATCTTGGTGTAACCATGTCTTGGAGCCTTACCATTATCATCATTATCATCCTCATCGTCATCATCATCGTCCTCATCTTCTTCATCAGTTTCAAATGTACTATCAGGGATATCGTATACTCTTACCACAGGCTGATAAGAAAAATGATTTTATATGTTATGCCATCTGTGGGATAGAATCTTCTCACTTTATTTGGTGAATAAGTTCCATATGAAGAGTGCAAAACATGGCATTTCAGCTAGCATGCTATTTTAGCTAATCTGTAATAATTCACCATTTGAAAAAAATATACTCATATGAGATGTTGGCATTCTAGCTATTATTAAGATTCTGTAAATTTGAGCTTTGACTCAAACTTGCTAAAATGGCATGGGTCTATTTCAGTGTACAGTCACGCACACAAGAATTACTGAAAACTTGATCTTTCTAATTCTACTTCCTATGCTCATACTCACTTTATTTGGGTCTTTCATGATGAGGAATTTTCCTTCTGGTAGTTTTCTACATATATCAATGATGCATCTGAGAACACCCCATGCATTGTCCATATTGAGATTTATCTGTGAGGCAAACTCACTTGGTTTGAACTGCTGGGTTCCAAGAATAACATGTTTGGATGAATCTTTGGGGTTTACTCTTGAAACATACCTGTATATTGAGATTAAGTAAATTAGTTTAATGATCCACAGAATAAATTTACTATAAACTCTTACTACTAGAAATTTGGATTTGAGATTTTGAGATGATCAAACCATGCAGTGCTTGATTATTAAAGAACAAAACTACCAAAAGTGTACTAATCTGTTTTGGATAGACTCTTTATATTTTCATATTTAACAGTATGTATTATATGAAACAGATGCACATCAAAAATATAATTGTACATGTATATATAACTGGTACCTAGTTTTCTGGAGAATTTCAAAAAATAAATTGCTGGAAATTACAGTGCAATATTTTGGTATCTAGGGATTACTTAGTATGCTATTCTGAAGTTCCAAGTGAAATTCAGCACCAATGATACTGCTCTGTGATGCACAATAAGTTGCAGTCAAGTTGGAAAAATTTGTCATGATTGGTCACATGGTTTGGTCGCCATTTTGGTTTTCTTCTCACCAGGAAGTAGTTTTTTACTTATGCCACATTTATGTGATTATCTTCTAAACTGCATGTTATCTCTATATCAAACTCTTTCAAAAAGTTTTTAAAAAAATTCAAATCAGTCACGTGGGTTGGTCGCTTGTGATGTTGCATGTTAGCCGTGGATTTTAGGCAAAATTGACCAAAGGTTTAGGCATTTGTTTCTCAAAGGAGATTCAACCAATCAACTAGATATGCTGTGTATAACATGTCTGGTCTTACTTGTTGCAAGAAAAATATTATAATTTTACTCAGTCATGTGATTTGGCCGCCATCTTGGATTGTGTGAAAATGGGAATTGTGCAATTATATGTGTTGTATTGGTCCAATTAGGCTCAAATTTTGTATGTGCATTCTACTATTAGATACTATACCAGAATGGCTAATGGCTGCATCATGTGGCTTGGGGCCCATGGGGTGGGGGGCTTTTATCCTCATTAAAATGCATAACTGTTATATCTCAAGCACTGTTGCAGATAGGAAGACGAAACCTGCATTATTATGATGACGTTAAACAAGAGATCTGACTAAAATAACAGATGACCATATATGGTCAGGTGAGGTCATTAATATGCATAACTGTCATATCTGAAACACTTTTGCAGAACAGTACATGTAACAAGTATCATAATGAAGACATCAAACAAAGGATACAACTAACATAAAAGAATACCAAATAGAATCATGTAACCTCATTAATATGCATAAGCACATGGATCATTATATATTTTGAAAACCATATCTTGATAAATACATGCAACCAACTGCATGTGTACCTCATGTTACTGATCATTCAAACTACCTAATTGTCTATCATGTGACTTCATTAATTATGAAACAGAATCCTATTAGCTTGGGCCCTGCTGATGGACTTGCGGCTTTAATTATTATGCTTACCCAAATTTAATTTGATCGGAGCCTGCTAAGAGAGCACACGTTGTCCACTTTGCTAGTTTGAAACTGTTATTCTTCAATTCTGTGGCCAATATGGCACCACGTTGCAAGTCTAATTTTTGACGCCAATCAACAGCACTACTCGCCTGAAATGGACAAATTAACATAACCAAGGATTTAACACAACCCAGAAGGTACCAATCATATGTCACCTAATTAAAGCAGTTAACACAAAAGACTGAGTCTTAACGAGCATGTCAGATACCAACCACTATGACATGCAAGAGGGATGGGTTGGTGTGACGTATGTGTGAGAGAGGGGTTGGTGTGACGTATGTGTGAGAGAGGGGTTGGTGTGACGGATGTGTGAGAGAGGGGTTGGTGTGACGTATGTGTGAGAGAGGGGTTGGTGTGACGTATGTGTGAGAGAGGGGTTGGTGAAGGTGTGTGTGACAGAGGGGTTGGTGTGACGTATGTGAGAGAAGGGTTGGTGTGACGTATGTGTGAGAGAGGGGTTGGTGTGACGTATGTGTGAGAGAGGGGTTGGTGAAGGTGTGTGTGAGAGAGGGGTTGGTGAAGGTGTGTGTGAGAGAGGGGTTGGTGAAGGTGTGTGTGAGAGAGGGGTTTGTGAAGGTGTGTGTGAGAGAGGGGTTGGTGAAGGTGTGTGTGAGAGAGGGGTTGGTGAAGGTGCGTGTGAGAGAGGGGTTGGTGAAGGTGCGTGTGAGAGAGGGGTTGGTGAAGGTGTGTGTGAGAGAGGGGTTGGTGAAGGTGTGTGTGAGAGAGGGGTTGGTGAAGGTGTGTGTGAGAGAGGGGTTGGCGTGACGTATGTGTGAGAGAGGGGTTGGTGAAGGTGTGTGTGAGAGAGGGGTTGGTGAAGGTGTGTGGAGAGAGGGGTTGGTGTGACGTATGTGTGTGAGAGGGGTTGGTGTGACGTATGTGTGAGAGAGGGGTTGCTGAAGGTGTGTGTGAGAGAGGGGTTGGTGAAGGTGTGTGTGAGAGAGGAGTTGGTGTGACGTATGTGTGAGAGAGGGGTTGGTGAAGGTGTGTGTGAGAGAGGGGTTGGTGAAGGTGTGTGTGAGAGAGGGGTTGGTGTGACGTATGTGTGAGAGAGGGGTTGGTGAAGGTGTGTGTGAGAGAGGGGTTGGTGAAGGTGTGTGTGAGAGAGGGGTTGGTGTGACGTATGTGTGAGAGAGGGGTTGGTGAAGGTGTGTGTGTGTTAGTAAGGAATGGGTAAATGCAGGTATGTGTGTGAGAGAGGGATGTTGGTGTGATGGATATACAAGTAAGGGTACTGTGATCACATGGGGTGGAGAAAGAGGTGTTGATTACCTTAGAGTCCCATTCATTGAGTGTCTTGATGTTAACAAACTGTGTTTCTCCATTGGATCCTATCATTACACCGTCATGTTCACAGCGTACTATTAATTCTATTTCATCTCCGAGATCCCATTTACGATACCTACAATACAGTAGATGAAATATTTGCACAGAGATAACAAGATATATGTGTTAAATGATATTAATTAGGCAAATTATGTGGTAATGTTGATATATGACTAAGATACAAAGATGCACAGGGACAGCAAATGCATAGAATTTAAATTGTTAAGTTTCAAGAACAACAAAGATGTTTTATCAAGTACTCAAATTCACACTCTGTCCTTTGTAAATACTGTCAAAAGCTCAAGTTTTACAAATTTTGCAAGACTTTATAAAAATCTCTCTGTGGTTGCACAACATGGAGTGTCAGTGACTTTTATGACATTTTGTATTCACGAATGTCATAAAAATTAAGAGGTTTACAGTAAAACAAACCTGTATCCTACAGATGCGATTTCCCCATCATCTGCATCTTGTGAAAAAGGATTGGGAGTACCATAACGATATTTTTCATTACCAGGACCCTGAAATACAATGCCATGAAGTTGAATGACTGTACATGCATGTAGAAATCTTCTGCACTCTTGCTTGTTTTTCTGACTAGAATCTTTATTATTTCTCATCCATAGTTTTTATACATGTATGTACCCTGTTAATAAAACAATTTGCGGACAATGTTGTCACAGCAGATTGTGCAATAGTCAGAATTAGTGAGGGACAGTTGTTATCAGGTATTTGCATACTGGTTGCCAAAAATGATGTCAGAGTGCGGCAGGTTATAGAGGTATTTTAAATAGTGTAAATACATGAAGACTGTCAAATAAGGTTTTCAGTAAACAAGTGGCCAGTTTACACTGGTTTGGTTTCAATGAATTTACCAACAAATAATTAAAAAATAATAATCTAAAAAATATTGTTTTAGCAAAAAGCATGCTGAATTTTTTTTTATTTGAGTAAACCTTCATTTTTGTTCCAAACTCTAAATTTGTTACATCATCTTCATTTTCAAAAATTATCCACTACGAAACACAGCCAAAAATGTGATATGTATGTGTAATTGTACATACCATTTTTAGACACTGTTGAGAGAAGTTATGGTTGACAAAAGTAGCTTCCAATGCTAGATTTCTAGGTGCATTGATGTGATTTCCCTCATCTTGTGGAGGTTCTGTGGCTGTCTCATTAACAGTGAGCAAATCTGAAAATTACCACATTTATATATTAATATTTAGTGTTGTCATTTTTTGCCTGTGTTGTAAATATAAATCAGCTACGAATGTAATCAGTTCCAGCAAATTACAATCAAAGAAAGCTTAGAAAGAACTCCCGTGTGCTGAGAGTTTTGGAGACACATTAAAAATTAATTCAAAATTACTTATACTTGAGATATTGATGGAATATCTGAAAACTAATTATGCAAATAAGGTAACTAATATGAACAGATTTAAGTGTAAAACTAATAAGGTCTGCACAATGTACCAAGTTTCATTGAAATGTGATTAGAACCAAAAAAATATTAATTATTATGCTAATTAGAGAATTAATATGAACAGATTTTAACCCAAAATTAATCAGACTGTCTATTGTCCTAGAGCATTTATGTACCAAGTTTTATTCAAATGTGATGATCAATACTTGAGATATTAGTATTAATTAATTATGTTAATTAGGTGATTAAGAAGCATAAATATTTACCAAAAACTAATATGGTGCATAGTCTTAGGTTCATTGAAATGTGATGGGTACTCTTTAAAAGTTTCATTGAAATCGAATGAGTGGTTTTTAGACATCATAGAACAGCAAAAAATTAACTAATTATGCAAATTAGGTAATTAATAGACACAATTATTTATCCCAAAACTAATCAGGTCTCTGCATAGTCCTAGAATATCTATGTCGCAAGTCTCATTGAAATGTGATGATTAGTACTTGAGATATCAGGTGAAAAGCTGAAAATTAACTAATTATGCTAATAAGGTGATTAATATGCACAAATATTTACCCAAAAACTAATTAGGTCTCTGCACAGTTCTCAAGTAACTATGTACCAAGTTTCATTGAAACATGATCATTACTACTCGAAATATCAAAAGCTGAAAATTAATTAATTATGCAAATTAGGTAATTAATATGTACTGATATTACCCTAAAAACTATCAGGTATGTGCAGTGTCATATGACACCTATGTACCAAGTTTTATTGAAATGTTATGATTAGTACTTGAGATATCAGTGGAAAAGCCAAAAAAATTGATTAATCATTATGTAAATTAGGTAATTAATAATATTAACAGATTTTTACCCAAAACTAATCAAATCTGCGCATTAGCTCAGAGCATCCATGTGGCAAGTTTCATTGAAATCCAATGAGTGGTTCTTCAAAAATCAGTGGAACAGTCATAGAACAGCTTAAAATCAGTTAATTATCATGCAAATTAGGTAATTAATATTCATAGATTTTTACCCAAAACTAATCAAATCTGCGCACTAGTTCAGAGCACCTATGTGCCAAATTTCATCAAAATCCAATGAGTGGTTCTTCAGATATCAGTGGAACAGTCTTGGAACGGGTAAAAATCACCTAATTATCATGCAAATTAGGTAATTAATATTCATAGATTTTTACCAAAACCTAATCAACTCTGTGCATTATCCCAGAGCATCTATGTACCAAGTTTCACCAAAATTTGACTAGTGGTTCTTGAGATAATGGTGGAACAAAAAAAGGGACATACATACATACATACAGACATACAGACAGGGTAACTGCAAAGACTCCCTTTTGTGCTTCGCACACGGGAGTCAAAAAAACAAGCCATGCCAAACTAGGGGAGCCACCATAATTTCTGATTTCCCAAACTAGGGGAGCCACCACAATACATCATCTACCAAACTAGGGGAGCCACCACAATATATCATCTACCAAACTAGGGGAGCCGCCACAATATATCGGCTGCCAAATTAGGGGAGCCACCACAATATATCAGCTGCCAAACTAGGGAAGCCACCACAATATATCAGCTGTCAAACAAGGGTAGCCACCACAATATATCATCTACCAAACTAGGGGAGCCACCATAATTTATAAACTAGGGGAAACATAAAAATGCTTAGGCTGCCAACAAGGAAAATTTTCAGTGGAATCCATCCAGCATCCATTTACAACATTTTCATGAAACAAACTTACCAAATTCAGAGTCATCTCTTTTGTCAAAGAAAAGTTTCCCACCAACATGCTGCAAAAAAATTGAAGGAGATATTAACAAACAAAGTGAAACCTTTGTGTAGATTCACCACCATGTGAAAGCTTGATTATAGCATCCACCTATGTAATGTGACCAGTGAGATAAACCAAATTCCTTCCAATACTATCTTATTGCTTCTTTATATAAGGCCTATCCAGCACATTAAGTGCCAAGCACAAGCACCAAAGTAACTGCTTATATAGATGTATTTAATCAAAATTATAGACATCAAAACTACAAATAAGTTTTGATTGTTTTCACCAAGTACATAGTCCCAGAGTCAGATGACCTACTGGTACCAAAAAAGGGGTAATACTAGTAATCAAGTTGAATATTTTTGGAAAGTTTTTGACATGTCAAATCATCAGCTTATCCAATATTTGGAAGAGTCAAATTTCACTAGTATATTTCAACTTATTGGTGTAATTATTTTCCTGAAAAATGAAAACTACGCTGTTAATTATAAGACAAATTAAGTTTTATAATATCATTAGATTTTAATTTTAGTGGTTTATTGGCTTTTACTCTACTTCCCCGATCATAAGCCCAGGGGCCTGAACATTATTAGCGGGTGGGCATATACTTGAGGACACCTCAGAAAAGAAATTTGCTAAAATCGTAACCATCTTCCTACCCACAAAAAATAATCCAAATTACATCTTTCGTTCACAGTGCTCGGAGAAATATTATGTCTTTTTGAGGAAAACACTTTTGATAATGAAGAAACAAACATGTTCATAAAAATACACACATTTTATTACAATACGGTTTACATACCGTCTGAATTTACGGTGCAAAAATGGTTAGGGTATGTGGAAAAACAGTAGGCAAGGCAAGATCATCACTTCGTTGTGGAATGTTTTAGATCATACGCAAACTCTCGATACAAGGCAATTTCGCCATGATATTATTCATCATGATTTGACCTGAAACAACTTCCTTTGATCTAACAGGTCACATCTTTCCTTAACCAATCAAAATGCTGTGTCGTACAGACAAAGTTTTCCCATTGTTGACGAAGTAATTTTTTCAACGCAACGCGGAAGTGAATTACCACAATATAAAAATGCGATTTCTAAACACTGATTTTGAGAAAAAAACAGTGATTTTTTTTTACCTAAAAGCTGTTGGTAAAGGTAAACTGAGGATGGAGGAAGTATTTAAACAAGTCATGTGGAAGAATAGTTTGCTCGTTAACATCCCATTCACATGTGAATTATTCCAGAATTGCAACATCAGGGTTCATCCTGAGTAAATAACAGAATTCAAATGTCTAAAAGCAGAGGGGTGGGCTTATACTCAGGGAGGGGCTTATCATCGGGGAAGTACGGTATAAGTAAGATGTGTCCTTCACATCATTTTGATATTCATAGGCGAGGTTTGTTGATGAATTGTCAAACATACTTTATGTGAACCTCAAATCATATTCATATGTGTTATATTAATAGTTACTTTTCAGATATAAGGGATAGTTTAAAATACCCTACTGTGATATTAAAGAGCAATGGTCGCACACAGAAGAAATAATGTAGAGAAATATATAGCTTATTTGACCAAGCTGGTCATTGTGGAGTTCATCATTTCTCTGATTCAACAAGTACATGTATTACAAACTGCTTCATAAACTAACATCCATGAGTTCAAATTTTAATTTTAAGCAATTTTCGATTAAAGTTAGGAAATAGATGTGAAATTATAATGGAAATAAAACATGTGAACTTTAACCCTCCAAATTGCTACTGATTTGACCTGGTCAGTGCACCACATACACCAAACATGATAAATACCCACAGTTGATACCCCATCTACAAAAACAAATGGATTTGGCATACAGACTAGAATACTTCATACAGTTACGCCAGCCTATAAATGATACATGGATTTGAATCCAAATTCAAATCAAGTTATTTAGCTTACCTGTACAACCACATCCCATGAATACACTGATCTTGTACAACACATCAATGTAGCTAGAATTATATCAGTGGCAAACACATTGCCTTTGGATGCAAGCTGTAAAACAAAACACCTTAACAGTCATATATGTAGTTGAAATGGGATACATGGTGTGATCCAATTCAATTTGAACTACTACAAAAGCATAACTGATGAAGTGACACTTTGACTGCTAGATTCCATCGACATCAAGACTTACATGTATGTGCTAAACACTTCTCCACTGAAATCAACTTTTATGTTATACATCACATACTATGCATTTCATGACACTACAAATATATCAGCCTCAGATTACATAATGCAGATCAAAGAATAGTAAAACATACCTTACGAATAATAGGATCATCAGTTGTGGTCACTTTATGAAATATACGATTTACTCTCTTCAGTCTCTTGTCTAGCTTAGTAGTCACTCTATCATAATTTTTATCATAGTACTCCATAGCCCCAGCGCAAGTACTGCATATTGCACATACAGAAAGACAAGTTCAAGTAAAGTTGATTATCCTAAAAACACAGTTCTGATTGTGTTTGAAACACTTATTATTAACACTAACATTTCATGTCAAAAATCTGCATACAAGTATGAGTATGGTGGGATAATTTGACGTTATGATAACAGATTATAGGACATAATTAACGTTGCAATGCAAATAAATCTTTGTTGTGAAGGTAATGTAATTATACTCGCATAATTAAAGGGTTTCAAGCTATAACTATTAATAAAATCCCATGAGCTACTCTCATGGTGCAACAGACACTGTCTTTGCCAAGACAGACAAAAGAATATTTATGCAACAGTACAACTAATTAATTAATATTCCTTTGTCTCACACCTGAAATTGTTTTTGGCAAATATTTTATTCACATACCGTATATGTTGATTGACAAATTTTCATTTTTTTTCTCATCACCAATAACAATTAGTTTTCACAAAGTTACCTAGACCACTCCCATAGTTTTCAAAATAGGAACCCTTAAGCATTTCACTGTATCTGGACTATTTGACATACTCCGCACTTGCAAATTTAATGTCTGAATATTGTGAAAAGCCATATCAAGTTTTTGACAACCATTATTTTATCAAATATCAATATTTTTACACATGTAATTCCAACTGGAGCAAGCCAGCATACATACCCAAAGCAAGCCATGGCATGCAAGTCTGCTATTAGTATGGAGTACCGTAAAAACTCCAAAATTTCAACCCCTCTAAAAATTCGCTCTCCTGGTTGTTTGTCGGGTTTCGGTTTTTTTTATTTATCTCCGGATTTTCGACTCCACTAAGAATTTGCCGACTCATTCTTATTCGAAAATTTCGACCAGTTTTGGTTTTCCCCCAAACGAAAAAAAAACAACAAAAAGCGATGTGAGCGTTCAAACGGGACTTTCCAGTCAAGCATGATTCCGATTTTCTGATTGACTGAGAGATTTTTATTTTATTGGTAACGAAAGTATATTCTAAACGAAGTTTCAAATAAAAACAAACACAACACACATCTTCTATATAGAAGCAAATGATCATGGTTGCAAAATCCGGTCATGCTGCATTTCTGAATTGTTGATTATTACTCAGTAGCGATTATAATAATGTACACAAAATAAATTCGTTGAATTGTTATGAAATACAAATAAAAGTCAACTTAGTTTCATCGTAAGCGAATGATTCCGGTCTCATATAAACGTTTGATGCTGTAGGATATCCGCCATGTTCTCTTAGGTCAAATAGGTCAAATCTCTAATTAACCAATCAAAAAGCTGGATGATGCCAACATGTTCAAATTACCATAGCTTATTTAAATATGTTAATGTTATTAAACGCAATGCGGAAGAGATTGATGTGGTAGTATGATCTTTTGGCTTAGATTTTGATGCGATTTTTTTTTTAAATCAAAAAATTAGTTGTTTTTAAAAAATAAACTGGGCATTTGAAGAATAATTTAACATTGTTTACAGTGATAACAGCTCATTGTCAAAACGAAGCTTACCCGTTCACGCTAGTCACGATAAAAATCATACACGTGTACTCTTGAATAGACGTCAATGACTACGGTAAAACTTAGACTCTATTTTAGCCGCCAGGAATGATTGAAATGTTCGAAAAATGACGCCAAAATACACCTTAAAAGTCCCATTTTATTTTCTTAAATTCCATTTTATTTTTTAATCCAAGGGCAGAATCTGGTTCCTCAAATAAGGGATACGTGAGCTTTGATTCTAACCGGATACATTGCACTGGGTCGGGGAGATAGTTTGCTAAACTTCCATGTATTTTTTGTTCAATGGGTACCTGTACTTCGAACATTCGCAAGTTTTCCTATGTAGTGCGAAACAGCTTTGTCATTTGACCTATTAGTTTTGTGCTGACCTCTTCTCTGCGTCTTGATGTTTTGTTTTCCTTGTCATAATACTCACTGATTGATGACTTTGCTTCAATTTTGAGTTGTTTAGCCTACAACTCGGCCATGACCTTTGCTTTTTAAAAACTAACAAAGCACACTGTCTATCATCCCCATTTTTTTCATTTGCTGATTTCTATTCTGAAAAATTCAACCGTCCGAAAATGCACCTTAATTTTGACTCTAAAAACATGTCACATTTCCAACACTTATTATTTAAAACCAGTCGAAATTTTGGAGTTTTTACGGTGTGTGCAAAGCATTCTGGGTATATTCGTTGGTACTTACAGATCTTGGGGGTCTTTTAAATCCATGAACTTCAATTTACTCAGTCTTGGGAAATCCATCTCTTCTTCAACTTTCCAAGAGTGTCTGACTTCAACTGAAGCATCTCTGTTTTTCTGTGGTCCTTTCTATGTGTGCAAAGAGAACATCAATGGTTCATTTTAACAGGGATTTAAACAAATTTGATCAACACCTTTACTCAAAACTAGATTGCCACAACAACTGATTCAGTTCAGCTAAACCATGTTTTTTTTTAAGCCAAACAATAAGATTTGTACAAACCTGAGATCTGTTGTCACCCCATTTCTGTCTACCAAACTGCTTCTGTAAGCGTTTAAGTTGGCGTTGTCTTTCTTTCTGAGCCTTTGTCAGAGTCTGCATGCTGGCAGTAGCTCTCTGTTCTCGACGTTCACGATCTCTTCGAATATTTCGCTGAAAAAACACACACCTTGATTACTAGTACAACACAAAATTGTGTACAATACACTGTGTTTTAAAAAGCTGCAGTCAACATCACAAAAGGAGGAAGTACAAAGTCTGATAACAATTGTCACAATTTGTGTCTTGATAATAATAACTATGTTATGCAAATACAACCAACATTAGTTGTGTTCACGTTACACAAAGTACGGGCTAAGATTTAAGCTGATTTAGGCTTATCTAGCATATTTGCATTTTGGCTAGACCCAATTGCGTCGAAGCATAGGGAGGGCCAGTCGTTAGCACGGGCTAAGGGGTGCCATTAGTCGGTGACCTTTGGTAAGCCGCTATTTACGAACGAAGAATGGATGACACGCGCGAGGTTCTATTTCTGCTGCTGGCATGTTTTGTTCTAATTTTGAAGCGACGTGCACAGGAACACGAGAGAAGACGGACCACTTATTTGGATGCACATAAACAGTATACAACGGGCGTAACAGAATACAGAGTTTTATTAATGCATGTCGTAGACAGCGAACCAAATTTATTTTGTCTACGATTGGAGCTGCTGTACGCTCTACTACTACAGTGACCCGATTAGTGTGGAAGCGAGCGCGGAGTAATGACTGGTGGAATAGTGTCGTTATACGAACATTGGACAATTTTCACACCCAAAGGTCGCCGCAGAGGGCGCTTAGCCCTGGGCTAAGCGTTCGCGCATACTTCGTTAGCCCGTGCTAAGGTCTAGACCGCGTCTTAAATTCGGATCAGATTTAACCCGTACTTAGCATTCCTTAGCCCGTGCTAAGGAGCTGTGCGTGAACGCAACTACTGATGACACCTTCCAGGAGGTAATCCCAACTACCTAATACCAATAGAATTCAACATGACTAGTCAATACTTTTTAGTAGCTAAAGAATGAAAGTGAAAACTAATAATACGTAGATGTTTTATAATACGTCTATAAAATAAATTCATGCCTTCATGAGCCTATTGTATGTACAGCTTCAATAAATTCTAGACTTAACCTAACAAAAAATGATATAATCGCTAGGAACCATGATAGAGTACTGTAAAGGGGTTAATTATTCACTGGGTTTTAATTTGGATTATTTCGCTGACTGGAAAATGCGCTAAATTAAAACCCAGTGAATATGTAAAATTTAGCATAGAACACATTATCTAAATGATAAAACCATGAATTTAAAACCCACTGAATATGCCTGAAATGGCAAATCAGTGAAATTTAAACCCAGTGAAAATTAGTCATTTTACAGTAACAATAATCTTACCTGGTTCATTCTGAACCTATTTCTTTGATACAAGGGTCTCTGTATCTTAGTTGTATCCACCAGTTGAAACGAAGACTCATCCTCTTCATGGTAATATGCATACTGGGTACCAGAACCAAATTGTGAAGAATATTTCCCAACTAAACATACAAGTGAAAACAATATTTTACAACAGAATACTTTTAATATATATATATATATATATATGAAGTGTGACTAGTGTTTTTATTACTATTTATAAAGTGACACTTCACCAAGTCTCAGTGGTAATTATTACAATAGATGGTTACAAAAAATTCCAGTATCTTTTTAGAGATACATGTAGCTTTAAATAAAATAAATTTGAAGCTTCATGTATTAAATTAGCCATTAAAGAAACAGGATGAGACAATCAGTGCCTGTGTTTTTTAAACCGTGTCAATTTCTTCAACATTTAAAACCCATGTCCCTGTCAATTACTGGGAAACAAACAGTGTCTGTGATTAGATTCAAGGCTTCAACTGATGACTTGACAAATTTCGCAGCCAGTACATGTACTGCTATAATAATCCCTCTCATCCATCATTCTTATCTCTACTGTAGTATAAATGCTCCATTAGAATCACATCTTCACTAGAGGAATATTTCAACTGACTAAAAGACATGCATAGGCTAGACACAATAATTTCACAACCAGTATAGAAACTTTTGACAAGACATGCAATTAATGTATTAATATGTTTCTAAATATATGTACATCTATAAATTAATACTGCCACATTGGAAGTGTGTTAAACACAACCTTCAGTTCATTTCACTACTCAAACATTTCAAAGTTATTATTTTATTTAACTCTAGACTGACTTTGTCAATAATATGCAGAGATCAGAATGTGGTCAATTTGATTTGACAAAAATGAGTTCTTACTTAAATATCGCTTATCCTGATAGGTTGCACCAGTCCAATCTGAAACCTGCAAAATGAGAGTTTTATAAATGTGGAATATCAGTTCTGAGATAACAAGAAAAATTAAAATATAAATTCATGAATATTATTGCAGATATTTTCCATTTTTTTTTTTACTGATTTCAATACAATTCCAGCTGTAAAGACATTGTGCACTTCTAGTGGATCATGAGAAACTCTAAGGTTTTTTCTTTATTTTTCAGCTAGATTTTTTTCCGCGGTGATGTTGAAAAGTCTTTTCTCTATCATTGTATAGGTGTGCACAATTTGATTGGTCATACAACTCAAATACAAATAAGATTTTCCCAAATTTACCGCATCCCCGAGTTTCTTATGAATTGGGTCAGCCCTTAGGTAAAACAATTTTAGATTCAGCAGGAACATGGTATAAACATCGAACAGCTGTCACTACAGATCATTGCGAAACGAATACTACGACGATTGACAAAATCCGACAACCGGTACACTGTACACGGTCACCACTCACCTTCCCAAGGCGATCTCCCTTTGAAAATGGTTGATAAGGCATATCTTTGAACTGTCCGGGAATTTCTCGAGGACCCCAACCATTTGGGTTGTCCTGTATCGTCGGTGGAATAAAATGACCCTCCATTTGGTAAAATATGGAAGAATTCTTAAACAAACGTGCTTCTCATGTGCAATGGAAGCAAAATGGCGGAACACAGCGCCCCCGTCGTCAATTGTCGATATCGTGTTCCAGGTTCGAGATTGGCTACTGAATATTTGCGTTGAATAATATTAGTGTACATGGGTCATTTTGATGTAAAAAAAATCATGAATTTATGTAGTAAACTTGATTTCCTTCTGACTTGGTAGTTTAAACTAAACGTGTTGTCTAAAAGGTGAACATTTGTGACCCCGACTATTTTTTTTATTTTTTTTTTCTTGTCAGGGCGCCATCAAGCTTCGAGATTTCTTCTGAATATACGATTCGCCCCCGGAAAAACTTAGATTGGTGTAGATCCAAACTTGTATGGCACTTAGCAGCTGTATTTTGCGTCTCATCTGGTTCATCGCAGTGGTATATCCTCCCGATTCATGTTTAGTGTTGTACAATTATAGGGTAAGCATTATATGTGTGATTGTCTGAATATTTTAGCATAATACTCCGTGAAAAACTGACGCAGTGGTGATCATGTTGAAATCGAACGATGATAAACATTGAGAGAAATGGGAATTACCCGCCATGTCGATGTCAGTTTATTAGTGTACTTGTCCATATTGTAAAACAGTCAACATGCAAGGCATATCAGCATTTTACAGATTACATCGACACTGATAGACAATATAATAGTTACATTCTAGATTTTTTTTTGGGGGGGGGGGGGGCTCATCCATAATTGTACACGAATGTGTGATGCATGTTTTGACTGTCACCTCATACACGTACACAAGATGGCTGGAACTTTCCCCGAAGTGTTGATGACATGACTCATATTCAGTGGTCTTCTTTTACGTCTTGACAAAGAGTGCCACTTTGTACCAGGAAGTAAAAACTAATTATCAAACGTACAAACAAAATAAAGATGCCTTATTCCACTCAATCGCATTGACCTTGAAATATTAATATTTATTTCATTTTATTCACTGTTTTGACCAATACTCTTTTCTATTTTCTGTGTGACTCAGTGTGATTGCTGTTTTTAGTGTTTTAATGAGATCACTGTCAATCACCACCAATCATAGCTAGTATTATAGATGTATCCCAGAATAACCAAGCCACAGAGTCTAGCTGTAAAGCCCTCAGACCAAGACAGTGTAAGTTAAAATTTTCACTTTATGTTTACAATATTATTACAATCTCTTTTTTAATGACTAACAACTTTTTTTGATGGATATGTGACATTTATTACAAATATAATACAATTTAAGACATGAATGGCAGAATCTGGAATAATTTATCAGATCTTGTTTCTGTATTTTGACAGGGTCACATAGAAACAACTTTTGGTGTTGGTCCAGCTTCCCCACCGGTTACTACCATTACTTCAGGTGAGCTCATTAAGTTAATGGTCAAAGAAATCACATTACATGTAATATAATCCAATGTAGTGTTATTATAGTACCTTTATCTTTGCTGACAAATTTTGAAAGCCAAAATTTATTCAGAATTCACTTGTGAAAGATGACAAAATTTGATTTTAGTATTCAAAACTTTAGCCCTGTGAGCGTCATTGTTAACTTTTGACAACATTTACAAGATGGTTTTGTATAGTCTGCTCCCCACGTTGATTGTTGAGAAAAATTGACAAACCTTTTGATCATATGGTCCAAAATGGGAATGAAATTTACTTAAAAATGTACAAAATGTGAAAATATTTTCACTGAATTTTTATTGGAAAAAGTGTCTGCTTATTGGGTGACTATATTTTTATGTGCATAATGCATACCGGTACAGGATTGGCTTAATGTTGAATTTATTGTTACAAGTGTTTTTCTAATGTTATCATATGATTTCAAGTTTGGCATGTTTTGTGAAGTATACATTGCCCTCATTTAACACTGTATCAAGTTCAGTAGTAAAGTAAATAATTATGTTAGATGAAGCTTACCTGACTGTACAGTGTGTATTACAGCTAATATATTGTCTATTTAATTCATCAGGTGATTTATTGACTCCAACATCACCAACACCTCGTAATCGCAGTACATCTAATGCATCAGCATACGATGACGATTTGGTATTGGACGATTCTAAGGTAAATTACGTCAAAATATTGCTTTTCACTTTATTTTTCATTATCAAAGAAATAACTTACACACTCATACCATATTTGTTAGATATATGGTAGTAGTTGGAAATTGATCTCTAGTTTTTTATTGAGTGCGGGAGAGGGGCGGGTAAAAATGTGGGGAGAACCCCGTTTTATTTACATTCATTTGTTTCCTTTGCTAATATGCGACTTGCAGTTATTTTCACCTAATGCACTGTAGCATATTATGCAGTTCTAAAAATATGAGGTAATTTAAAGAAACTTTGTTTTGGCATTTTGTGAGAAATTTACATGCAATCAAATCCTATTTACATCCTGTTGTACTGCTTTTCCGTCTTGTTCTTTTTTGCAGTCATCAGTACTAAGAAAAGAAGACATATTTGACTTTGTGTCTTTCAGTCATGCTGTGTACAGAAATTTGCTATAGTTGCATAAATTTAATAAATTCAGTAAAGTGATTTCTGATTGGCTAAAGTCATAATCACAACATTTATCCAACCAATTAGTAGTCTTCTTATAACCTGCAGTTAGATTTGCAGTTTATCCATGTATGCTTTATATAATTATTATTTTATTATAAAGTTTGTAAAAAGGACTATGGGCAATATCGTATATTACTAATACCATATCATATGCTATTGTAAGGTCCAGAAACAAAATATTCATCTGGTTGCTGTGCATGTCAGTGAAAAAATAATCAACTCACAATTTGTTTTTGAAATAAAAATAAAAAACTGAATGCACAAAGTCAAAAAAATGGATAGCCTTTTTTTTCTGGTCCTAAAATGCTGTTCTTTCTTTTCAATACTAACTTTACATTGGTCATCTCTCTCTTTCTTTCGCTGCCACTTGTAGTTCTCATTTATAGCATGTCATCGACGCACCAGTTCCAATGTTTCGGGGAGATCACTCCCGTCTGTTAGTAGCGACGATGATGAGGTAACTAAACAATTCATGTGCTGTCTGACATTGTGTTTGTATCCAATCTCTGGATGCCATATAGTTATGTATCGGGTAAAGTCACAGTCCCTTTATAGATCAGTCTAGAAATGGCCATATTTGAAGTATGATTTAAATCAAAAATGTATGAAGGTTGTTTTACAGATTTGCCTCTCTTTTATTCTCTGATAGTATTAATGGTGAAATTCCTAAATCAATGTTTGAAAGGTTGATGTTGGTTTAATGTATGGTTGGCTAGTTCAAGATGAATTCTGAATTATAACTTTTAAAATCTGTGTCATCACATGTTTTCTTCATTGTTTATTGTCACTTTTTAGGCATTCATGTATATAAGGTGTAAATCATTTAGTAATCTATGACATGCACATGACTATTTCCAGACCACTCTATAGAGGGACTGTGGTGTATGTACTGAGGGACTAGCAAAAACACATAGGCAAAGAATTAATACTGTAGACATAGTTATATGGGTTTTAGGAATAGCATAAGACATGTACAAATCATGAAAAAATATTCATATATTATGTGTCAATGAAATCTTGTCCTTCAGTATAGGTATGCGCTATTTCATATTAATGTTTTGAAACAAAACTAACAAATTCCTAATACATGTATCTTTATTTCTTGCAATGTGTTTCTTGATTCAATTCATTACAAAATTTTTAATTTATTTAATAATTGGTGGAGATTTGATGAAAATATAGAAAATGCTTGAACCAATATTTTAGCAATTTTAGTTCTTGCCCACCTTTCTTTCAAGTTTCTGGCAATGATAAAATTTATGAAATAATCCACGCATTTGAGTTCATTTAGATAAAGTACAGTAGTAATTTAGGTAGCATTCATTCATTTTCTGTAAACCTCTCTGATGAATCAATGGGTGATTGTTGACTTCATTTGTAACATTGGTTGTGAGTCAATCCAAATATGGAAAGACATGTATACATCTAATGTACAGTTGTTGTCACACAACTGTACCTACAATAGATTCATTAGATGTACTGTGAAACCATTTTTTCCACACTATTTTGATGTTTTGAGCACTGGTTTTTAAATTCACAAACTTTGTTGAGAAATAATGAGTTCTATAGTCATTCTACAATTTCAATTTAGCGAATTTGGGCGAAAATAGCGAAATTAAAAACCAGCGAATAATTAATACATTCACAGTATATTTCACCTGTTGTTTCACTGCACCTCTAGCAATTCTCATGGAATGTTATTTCATTAAGGTAGAGATGCCCTTTTTTTTGCAAATTTTGACAAATTTCACTTTTTTTTATATTTTTTATGGCATTGTATGAACATTTGTATTCTGTGAAAATTTGAAATTAAAATCATTAGTGGAACTCTGTTAAATCCAATGGCGATGTAAATCAGCATATATTTTTTACTTAACTATAAAATATGCAAATTAGCAATTATCTCAGCTTCTTTTTAGTGCACATCCCAGAACTTTAAAAAAAAATAGCTCCTAGATGCTTCGACCTTTTCTTTTGAAATTTTCACAAATGATTGACAATGTGTTTATCTTCAAAACGCCGTCGGGGCATTGTTTTTGGTTGAACGGTGTTACAACAATCGTACAGACAACTAGCCTGGGTGTTAATTTATGCATAAACTTAAATTAGTGAAATTTGAGCTGCTGCCCAGCAAAATTGACAACTGTCAGATAGTTTTCAAGACGGCACTTTCTTCATAGTAAAAGATGTACCTGTAAACCAATTTACAAACAGAGGCATGGTTTAGAAGCCAATTTTTTTTAAATCACTTTTGACCAAAAAAAACCCACATTTTTGTGCATATTTCAACTTACAGTGTCCATAAAAAAAATACTTACAAAATTTTAAAATTCATACAATAAGCTTTCTGAAAATATAGTTTTGTGGATAAGGGAGGTCATCTTGGTTTCCTAATTAACTAATTAAAATACCTGTCAGGTAAACTGCATCTCTACCTTAAATCTTCTCATTCAATGTTTCGTAATTAGCATGAAAAACTGCACTTTTTTTTTCTCCATTTATCTCACTGTAGTTGTTAGCATTCACATCATTTATTTCTTTCATTTCACATTTGCATTCCTTGTTTTATATCACAGGAAGAAAGTATACTTGTAAGTTTTTTTTAGTGGCATGTGTGTGATTATTAAGTCACTTCCTTCTTGCCTTTCTGTCACTCCTAACAACCTGACGTTTGACACTTGAAATAGAATTAGTTAAAACGTATAGCAAAATAAAAATACTGAAAATTTGAAAAGTCCTTTGTGTGAGTTAATGAAGTTTAATTTTTAAGTGTTGGTACTGTTGTTTTGTCAAGGATGATAGTTATGTATGATTCGGTCTATTATAATAGAGTAGTACATGTGTGCTTGATGTAATGTGATAATTTGACTAGAAACTATAGTTCTACATCCTTGTTAACTGAATTTATCCCTCTCCATACTTTCCTAGTTATAAATATATGTTAATTAACACCACATGGGAAACTGCATAAATTATAATGAAATGTTTTATTATTTATTTGGGTAATTAGATTACATTGTTAAATTGCTTGCTTCTTCCTCCCTGTGTCCTCCTTGCTCTGTATTGACCATCTCCTGTCAGGTCAAAGGGTAACATCCTCTCATGTGCATTTCCTCCCTGTGTCCTCCTTGCTCTGTATTGACCATCTCCTGTCAGGTCAAAGGGTAACATCCTCTCATGTGCATTTCCTCCCTGTGTCCTCCTTGCTCTGTATTGACCATCTCCTGTCAGGTCAAAGGGTAACATACATTCCAATGTGCAGTAACCTTAGTTTGGTTTCACTTACACACATACATACAATCATAGAAATGACTTCACCATGACACGTATGCAGTGTTCATTTCACATCACTGTCACTTTGAAACAAACTGATGCCAAACAACAAAATTTGTTTCACTCATAATCTGTAGCATGTCAAATTTACTGGTACACCAATTCAAGTGACTACAAAATTTGTAAATTACTGACGCTCTCTGTTTTTACATGTACCTCAATCCCTATATTCTATGACGATTATGTATTTATATCCACTGTATTTGGGATGAATTTTCGTTTATCAGAACAAAATACTAGCAGCAAAAATATAATTATTGCAATAAGTTACCACACTCATGTAAAAACACTTACACAATACTGTTATCCCCAATAATACTAAAATCCATCAAATTTCATGCACCCATTTCAGAATCTACTTCATCTCAAAGTTTTATAGTCATTTTCATCTGATATGTCAACATACTGATTGAATTTCAGGAGCTTCTTGTGTTCACTGAGCCGCCTAACAAGAAACTATACTGTATCCTATGCAAGAAAGTCTACAAGGATCCTGTTATAACACAGTGTGGGGTAAGTTTATATTTACTTCATGATTTCTGTAGGTACAGCTATAGATACAACATGTGCAACTGAAATGTGAAGAAACCTTATGCTAGTGTTCCTCTATACATGGGTAGATTACAAGATTAGAAATGATATTATCATTACTGTGGCCATAAATTTGTTTTGTACACCAAGCCAGCAATATCATCTGCTAATTGGCTGAAAATACAACTGTGTTGTAAGCAATACTGCTTCAGGAAAGGAGTACTGTAAAATCTGTATTAGAAGCCGCGGCTCCTATTAAAATTGTACAATGCAACAGAGGGAATGTGGCTTCTATAAGAGCATCTACACTTTTTTTACAATTTTTGATTCTCAATTATTCAAAAAGAATGGGTGCGACTTCTATTAGGGATGCAGCTTCTAATACAGATTTTACAGTAGATCAATATCAGAAGTGAAAGCAACATTGATTGGCAACAGCTGGTATTGTCAACCAATGAGCTGATGTTATTGCTGGCTTAATTACAATAATATGTATTACAGCCCTGTCTTGTAGTCCCAAATATGAAATGTATGTTTTGCACGTAGGAAAGTCAACAAGAGAGACTTGATACAGTATGATACATGTCAAATCTGTGTTACACTGCCCTCTGTGTTTGCACTCACAATTACTGTACTGCAATTTAACAGCTATAGAAGTAGCTGTGTTAAAAATACATGTATTAATAATTTCTGATTTGTATTCACAGCATACTTACTGTAAGCAGTGTGTCACTAGAGGAGGACATGGTAAGATACAGTAACATATTAGTTACCAATTAAAGTTCTGGTGATAGCTATATTGACATTTTAATTTGAAAGTACCTCCTCTTATCATTTTGAGGTCACTTGCATAGGTACTGCAAATTCTATATTAGTAAATAAAACAGTTTTCAAGTTCATTAGCACAAAAAATAAAAGTTTTATTGCATTTAAAGTTTGGAATATATGTTTACCAGGAACACTAGTTGCTGGATGTAATTGAATGTTGAAGTGAAATTAAAGAAATTTGTCAAATTAAACACATGACATGTCTCTTCATTGACAAGAACATGTGCCAATATTGTGAGTGTAAGATGAACAATTCCAATTGAAGATCTCACCGTCACTTATTTGGGGTTGTGTGAGAAAAACAATTTGAATAATCCAGATTGATAAATGAAACTTGGTGCATAGATGCTCTGGGCCAATGCGCAGATTTGATAAGGTTTTGGTAAAAAGCCATGCATATTAATTACCTAATTTGCATGATAAATAGCTGATTGTGATATTGATCATAAATGCAAGTGTTAATTATTTGCTGCTACTGGTTCCTTCACATTTTACAATTTCAACATAGTTACATTACCCATATGTTCATATATGAAAAATTTACCTTGCTTCAAAACATGTGAACAACGAGATACTCAAAATTACCTAAAATGCTCATTAAATACTGTAAAACCATTTATTTTCACTCACTATTTTGATGTTATGAACATATTCACTGTTTTAATTTCACAAATTTATCAAAGAAACAATTAGTTTTATTGTTATTTTACATGCTCACATAGATTTAATTTAGCGGATTTAACTTATTGGCGAAAATAGTGAAATCAAAACCCAATCATACATTTACAGTAAAGTAGTTGTGTGTTTAAAACTCAACTTGTTATTTGTCTACAGATAAATGTCCCATAGATGAGAGCAAGTTATCAGTAGTAGTAGCTAACATAGCGTTATCTGAACAGATAGGTGAACTGAGTGTACATTGTAAATATGGCTGTAGACCGTCAAGTAATGGCATTCCAGGGGATTACGAAGTTGACCCTAATGGATGTCCAATGACAGTAAAGTTACATGACAGAAAGTAAGTGGTATACATCAGTTACTTTTTTGATAAATATTATTCAGTCTCACTCTGTCAGCAAGCTTGTACAAGCTTTTCAATTGGCGGTTGCTGCGGGCAACCTTTTTCGCCATGGGACAACCAAATCTTGAAATGGCTTCCCATTGAGACAATTCATTTTTAGCTTGTTAGGTATATTAAGGGAAACATTTCTGTCATCGTCATTGTTAATAATTATTAATGTATGCACAATAACTTTACTAATTCTATTCCAAACTTTATCAAACTTAGTCACCTAATTCATCAGTATAAAATCTTCCCTTAATTCAAAATCATGCAAAAATTGAGAAAGTAGTCGTCAAAATCTGATAAAAATTGTTGACTGTTTCTACTGGTGATACACATTCAAAGGTCACTGATCCCTGTATTGCTGTACGTGTTCAGTCAAGTAAATCATTTATCTTGTAATCAATATCATTATTTATCAAAACAAAACAAAATTAATTTAAAAATACATATTAACAAAACATAGGCAAAATGTTGCATCCATATTTTGAAAGGAAAATTGTACTCAAAAATATGCATTCTGTATTTGACATGCAGTTGCTTTTACAAAACATTTCTTTGTCAAAGTATATCAATTTCAAAAACCAAAATTTGCAGGAATTATTCTCAACTTTTTGAACATAATTATAGACCTTTTATAGTACTAATTTGAAAACACACTTTAAAGACATTAATCACGATAAGTGCTTAGGGATATCCCCGCTTTAATACGATACAAAAGACACAAAATAATATATAAATATTTATAGCAGTGATTTCCATCTTAATTCGTTTATTTCAATTGTCTCTGTGTTGGATGTACACTTTTCCAACCAGTTTTTCGGATTGGTTGTCCCACTTGACAACCAGGTTATTTTTTTAATTTCTACTCTGTTGTAAAAATTGTATTGGAAGCTGCGGCTTCTATTGTCCAATTGTTCAAAAAGAATGGGTGCGGCTTCTATTAAAGATTTTGTTTTGTGTGTGCTGGGGCTTCCAGATCTGTAATTGGACTCATTGCATGTGCAAATAAATAAATATCTCTATTTATTTATTACGGTCAATTTAAATATACTTTAGGCTCAGTCTTTACACAGTGAGAAGGGTCCTGAAAGATATATGTCTTCTTGTATTGTTTGCTTTCTTACTCGTTCATTTCTTTATTTTGTCAACAGGGAACATGAAAGTCAGTGTGGATATGCACCACTGCAATGTCCCAATAACTCATCATGTCCTCTGATACTTAAAATGGTAAGCAAAATTATTTGTTTTTGAATTCACATAGGGTACATGTACATTGTCACTGCAACATAAATGTAAATGAAATATAGTGTGAAAATGCTTGATTTGAAATATGTTTTGTTGTGTAGATTTGTAATATCTTTATTACTCATTGTGTACTTTTCTGCATGACTTTATGAATGAGTGTCAGGATAAAGTCATCAAATTAAAATTTATAAAAGGGTGCTGAAACTGAACTAGTATTGGACATCATTTCTATTCCACACCTGACAGACTTATCAGTGCCACCACACCTGACAGACTTATCAGTGCCATGTTCTAAAAAATTGTTGTTGTTGTGAGCCAAGATGGTGCTGTGTACGTGAATGTTTTCTAGAGTCTATACAATTTTACGAGGTGAGAATACAAATGTGTTCAGGAAGTACATTGAATGAAGCACTAGTAAATCCCAGTTCTGTTATTTGCCTTTTAGGACATGGAGTCACACATTAAAGTATGCGACCAGAGAAAGTGCGACCATCAGAAGTATGGCTGTCAGTTTGTTGGCACCGAACAAGAACTACATGCGCATTTGACATCCTGTCGGTACGAGTCCATGAAAGAATTTCTTCAGAACACAGAAGATAAAGTGGCTGAACTGCAAATGAATATGGAAAAAAAAGACCAGGAGATTGGATTTTTAAGATCTATGCTCGGAAAGCTTTCAGAAAGAGTCGATCGGCATGAGAAAAGTATGGAAGTGAAACTTGGTAAGTTGGTAAGGTTGGGTCATGAATGTTTTCAATGATTTGTTGGTACTTTCTTATCCTAGATATATGGTACATGCCAATTTATATACTGTAACAACTGTGTCAGGTCAAAGGACGTCTTGGTAGGTCAAATTTGAGTCCAAACCATTGGTCCAAAAAGAAAAATCTAAGGAGGATGAAATTTGTGAGAAATAAAAATGGCACAATTCTGTGATTCATCACAAAATTGTAGAAACCAATTAATTTTCAAAATCTGTTAGGTGTTTGAAAGTAGACAAGTTTTTACGGTACAGAAAAAAAAATTCAGATAATAAAGCTGAAAAGAAATGCATATTACCATATCTAATTTGCATTCAAAGCTGTGTAGGATGCAAACAGTTATATTTATATCATCAACTTCCTCAAACAATGAGCATGTAAAAAAGCTCTGCCTGATAAACACAATGTCTAAATCAAGATTATGCAAATGTACAGTTGTGGCTGTTTAATCAAAATTTAGTCTCAATATCCTCGGCACATTGTCGGTGATTACCAGCATCCGTTTGAATGTCTGCACAGAGTCATATCAGGAACACTATTGTAGATAAAGGCATTCACACAGTGTTATATTGAAGATATTGCACACTAAATCTGATCAACATAAATATCATATATGGTCATGTGACCTCATTAAAAATGCATAATTATCATATCTGGAATACTATTGCAGATATAGACATTCAACCAGTGCTTGTAATAAAGATGCCAATGAAGTTTTAAGTTTATGTACATTTTCATCACACTTGTAATATAGCAAATACGGTATCATAGTGCAGTAGGGTGAAATATATATTCTGTAGGTGATTATTGACTTTTATTTGAGTGAGTTTGAAAAGTACCGGTATTGATTATATATGTTATTTTCATCATAGAATACTTGGATGAGAACCAGACAAGATTTGAAAAATCCATGGGTGAGTTGATATTATTGGCTTTATTGACACCCTTCATTACAATTGTGAACTTCCACACAAAATAGTTCTCTCTTGTTTCCTTAAGTATTAATGTTTACGTCAAATTCTGAAAATATCCGAAAATGTCTGAATGGTTACAAGATTAAAGGTCAAAAGGTCAAATACTGAGTGCATTAACCTTTTGACCACCAGTTCCTTCTTTTCATCATCAACTCACAAAATAGTCCAGACCTGTTTATAGTCTACACTTTCCATCAGACAGTTGGGACAAAATAACCAAATATTTTGAATAAAACTGAAAATTGACTCAAATTTTGTCTGTTGGCTCCAGAATTGGGGTACATTTCCAGAAATATTGAAGAATATAAAAAAAAAACTTGCAGACACATTTGGACGAGAAAGTCTGGTGGTGAAAATGTTAATCATCAAAACCAACTAGAATTTTCTCTTCATTGTAGATTTGCTGGACGAGAATCAAAGTCGCATGTCAAATGAATTGTACGATTTTAGACGTGAATTCTCCATGGTTACGGAGGAATTATCACATATTGATGCCAGGCTCAACTCAGGGGCTGTAGGATGTAAGTATGCTCCTTCCATAATTACACATCTAATTCTTTATATTTCTGTGTCAAGCTTTGTGCCATCATAGGCTTAAAATGGAATTTATTTGGTCCCTAATTTTCAGGTTATGACACCCAGCCTGTTATCAAGTGCAAGGGTACATTTGTTGGACACCAAGGGCCTGTATGGTGTCTGTGTGTTCATGGTGATCTGTTGTTTAGTGGATCATCTGACAAGACTATTAAGGTATGGGATACCTGCACAACATATACATGTCAAAAAACTATGGATGGTCATACAGGAATAGTTCTCTCTCTTTGTGTGCATGGGTGAGTATTAACATTAAACGAAATGCAGTCGCATTCTGAAATTGCATCTGGAAATACCAGTTGGTCGTTTCTTATCTTGTCTGCTTTTACTACGAATGGCAGAACCGTTGAAGTAATTCATTGTTTAATATAAAATAAATGTTGATAGATGGTTTTTGTAAAAAAAGGCGTAACTACCTTAAATATTAATTTGTTATTGAATGAACGTTGTGTGAATCCATACTGCATGTCTTAGATAAGTATTGTTAAGTTTTACTTGATCTATTTAATGATTCGTTTAGTGTTGAATCTGTATGGATAGTCAAACTCGCCTCTTTCAACCATAATGCATGCTATAACATTTTCTATTCATATTTGTTCATTCTACTACTATTTAAATACTATTTAATTTTGAAAAAAACAACACTTTTTTCATTGAATCAATTCGAAAATAAACTTCCAGCTTACTAGTACTTGTACTTTGGTTTGAAATAATCTTCTGACAGAGTAAATACCATACTGGATTCAGCTTCATCTTTGGAATGCAGAAACTTGATAGCTCTTCCGCTATCGTGAATTTAATTCAATTTTTCCTTTTGTTTATTCAGAACTAAACTTTTCAGTGGATCAGCAGATTGTGCAATCAAAGTAAGAATCATTTTTCTGATATTGTTTGTGTGTACTATGAGGACATTATGAGAATACTGCAAATTATGCATGAAGACCGTACGGTGATCGCATGTACTGCCTGAGTACATACTTTGCAGTATTCTTTTGATGACCTTACTATGATACATTTGTCCCTGCTTGTAACTATAATTTTAATAAAGGGAAATAACAGCTTTAAATAGCAATGATTAACATTTTTTGTGGTGTGAACATTTGCGTTCAGTGGCGAGATTCTATTTCCATCGCCCATGCCCAAGAAAAGTGTTGAATGCAACGTAAACATGGCACACAGTTTCCAAATAAAGAAGACATTCAAACACGACTGTATGGTGTTTTACAGGCGGGTAAATTCTATTGTTTTCTGTGTCAGATAAGAATACATTTTGTTTTCCAACAGTACTAGTAGATTATATTATAAACTTTTTCCTAATTTCCCAGGTTTGGAGCATTGACACGTTTGCATTCCTAGGAGAGTTGAAAGCCCATGACAATCCTGTGTGTACACTGGTAGCTGCTAATAACATGCTATTCAGTGGATCACTAAAAGTTATTAAGGTATGTACAGAAACATATCTAGTGTTTGCAACATTCTGTAAATGCATTAGTTATTCAGTTTTAATTTTGCTATCTTCGTTATTAAGTAAAATTTGCTAAATTAAATCAACAATAGAATTCATTGTTTCACTTACAAATTCTCAAACTTAAAACACAGTGAATATGCTAAAAACATCAAAATAGTGAAATTTAATATCATAAAAAATAAAATGTTTTTCAGTACAAATGTGTTATCATGTTTAGTCAAATGATTAAGCAGGAAAACAAGTTGACAAGTATAACATTTTGAAGATGTTGGATTTACTTTGTGTACTAGTAATTGCTGTTAGGGTTAATACAGTTACATGAATGTTATAAGAAACCACTGATAGATTGCTTACTGCTATACTAAGTCATATAGATACATTTTGTAAATGTATTATCATACGGGCAAAAAGTAAAACATGAACCCTTCAATTATGAAAAGTTCTAGAAAAAAAAACAATGTGTTGAAAACTACATTTAAAAAAATATATATATAAAAAGAAAAAAGCAGACATATTTATAAGTATATATTTTGGTGTATGCTAATAAATGAATAACTATTTTAACAGTCACATAAAAAATGCCAGTAACGCATTATATAAAACATGCAGAGTTGTGTGTACGGTGGTACTACCACTTGTTGGCTTCATCAACTTGACATTGAACTTAAATTGTTTGATTTATGTGTATCTATCCATTTCAGGTATATGATATACACACACATGAATTTAAGAAAGAACTGACTGGTTTGAATCATTGGGTGAGGGCGCTAGTCGCATCTGGTAACTACTTATACAGTGGCTCATATCAGACCATTAAGGTGAGGCTTGACTAGCCTTAATGTGGCTGCCTTTTGTCTTTCATAATCATTGTACCAGGGCTGTCAAACCACTGACAGTCCAAAGCAACATTGCATGTATGTATAAATGTATAATCTACATCCATATGCCATCTACCTATCCATTTTTGTCTTTGTACTGAGTGTAATAGTTTTTCACTGTACATGATTATAGTATGATGTTATCTCTGTAGGTATGGGATTTGAAGACGCTTGAGATAGTACGTGTCTTGCAGACGTCAGGTGGTAGCGTCTATTCTATCGCTGTCACTAATCATAATTTACTAGCTGGAACTTATGAGAACTGTATTCATGTGAGTTATCATGTAAAGTTTATTATCATCATCATCAATGTGTCAACACCAAAATCTCAACATTGCAGGCAGTGTGCGTATCTGGAAATTTTTTTCCTGGTTAGCGCATTGTTTCCAGACAACATTGATTTTGACTGACTGTGTTATTATTTTTTTTCTTCAATGAGTTTTACCGTAATCCTAACAGAGCCACAATTTCTGTAAAATAACAACTTTTCTGACAACTATATTCATGATAAGGCCTTGTAATTTTCATTAAATACTTAATTTTTATTATAATTTTAACGTTTTCACCACCAGTTCCCTCTTTTTATCATAAATTCACAAAATAGTCCTGTTTATATTCTGCACTTCAAAAGATTGGGAAAAAATGGTAACATTTTTCAAGTAAAAACTGAACCTATTCTGCAGGATTTATTCAAACATAAATCCGCTCAGATATACTCAATGACACACGTTATTTTCAATTTGCCAGGTATGGGATGTTGATACTTATGAACAGCAGGAGACGTTAACAGGTCATACTGGTACAGTATATGCATTAGCCGTAGTGTATGCGCCAAGTAATTATACCAGAGTATTCAGTGCATCCTATGATAGAACACTTAGGGTAAGTCAACTGAACCAGATAGAACACTTTGGGTAAGTCAACTATATCAGATAGAACACTTAGGGTAAGTCAACTATATCAGATAGAACACTTGGGGTAAGTCAACTACCGGTATATCAGATAAAACAGAGATAAAACTCAAGGAGAATAATACTAATACAGTAGTTGTATTGATTGATCCATGGTACATTTTCCAACCACTGATACATTTTTCCCCCTTCAAGGTGTGGAGTATGGAGAACATGATTTGTACCCAAACATTATTAAGACATCAAGGTAGTGTGGCATGTCTAGCTGTATCAAGAGGAAGATTATTCTCTGGTGCTGTAGATAGCACTGTCAAGGTTAGATTTCTATTCATGTTTTTATCCTCAATTTCAGATGTACCGGGGGGTATATGCTTTTTTTCGCCTTTTCCAAAATATGTAAAGTTACATGTTAACATTATATTTCTTTCTTTTCAGGTGTGGCATTAAAAATGCAGACAAAGAACACATGCATGTACATCATTTGATTCTCTGATAGTAAATAAATTTAGATATTAGAAAATTTATTAGTTAAACAAATCTGTTAATACTTCACTCAAACTAACTCAGGTCTGCACTTTAATTTATTTGTCTCTCGTCCATGATTATAATGTGTGTAAATTCTGCAATTACAGTTGGTTGTCAGTGTTTAAATCCTGAAACATTTTCACGACAAATGTCAAAGGAAATAGCAGATGTTGTAATGGCAACATACAACGTTTATACACAGTTGTTCCATTGACATGCAAGTACAGTTTTTTCCAGTGCAAACAAAACATTTGTAAATACATTTTTTTAGTTTTTCTTTCTTGCTGTGCTACAGCTGTATTGTAAATATACATACTATTATTCCTTCTACCTTCACTTGTGTAACCCTCGGTGGTCAAATATAAAACATGGGCATTTTTTAATAACAAGACAACAGCTGTATTGTAAATATACACAATTTTCCCTTCTATTTTCACCCTCAGTCGTCAAATATAAAACATGTACAATATGGAAGTGCAGACAAGTCTTTTTCTAACAATTGCAGATCATGTCACAACATTGTATTATTGATTTCTATTTAACAAAAGATGATTTTTTTTTAAAGGCTGTACATATCTGTATTTTAAACCAGTGCCTTGAAATATTTCATAATAAATAAAATAACAAGTCTTGCTTCTTTAATTTTATTTCAAGTATGGTGACATGCAAACAAACATAAATAAAATCAGCATATATGAAACGTTCTTCTATGTTCATTGAAAAACAGTTTTTACTCTTAAAAAATCTAAATTGAAAGGTACATTAATAACATTAAGAGAAACTTCTGTTATTTATTCGGTGAAGGTCAACCTGGACATGTTTTCGTAATTGTTCCCATGTCAGTTAAACCAATAGAGAATGATATTCTTTGATTCTTCTAAAGGTTCAAGAAGGAAGTTGTATTTAGCTTTTTAAAATGATCTTCAGAATTTGCTTTCATGGCATGGACAAATCAGAACATCACCATGAACTTTGTGAAGTACTGATTAAATCAAAATTAGTTATTTCTGTGTCTACTACCATTGCCAAAACAAACATAGAACCAGTGCTTGGACACAAGATTTCCTTTTGAGGAAGATAATGGTGTACATACTTAGGATTAACAAATTTCCCATGATCATTTGATGCCAATGGTCGGCAGCTTGCTTAACTTGTGTATATGCTTTGCCTCAACTGCAATTTCTTGATTATTTGTGTTATTGTCTATGATTGACCAATTGAATATACAACTGTGAAATGGAAATGGCGGCCCCTGCTGATGAAACTGGTACACCAATCACTGCGTCTTCTCTTGATCCTCATTTAACCGATATTTTGACCATGGATGTTCTTCTTCCACTTCCATATCATCAAGCCAATGGTTATAGTAACCACGGAAACCTTGTATCCCAATGTATCGTGAATGTTTACTGCCTTGATATCCCTGAAAATAATCACAATCACATGAGGCGTTGATGTGATGCATTATAACTATCAGAGTTAGACGAGCAGAGAAAAAGAAAGCTAAATGTTTCTTACTTTAGCTATATTAGTTGTAAATGCTGCTGTTCGTTCTAACTGTTCCAGAATGATTTCATTCGGTTTGACGCCATCAGATTTCATTTTCTTCAACAACTCTATCAAGTATCCATAGTCTTTTCTTCTGTTAGCTGATTTTATGAGTGCTCCGTATAGAGGCACATTGGGCTTTAATCCACTTGCCTGTCAAGCAATGAAAGCTTATGAATGTCTGCTGCCCTCAACAGTTAAACAGTTGAGCAAAGGCACCATATAAAATATGATTGAAATAGATCTCTAAAAGTTGCTCAGCATGCTACAACCTCTACATTATCAGAGAGTTTAGATAATGGTGAATACACTAGTACAGATATCTGTCTAAAAGACAACTTGATGACAAATTTAATCGGCCAAGAACGCCTAACTGGTTTTATGAGTTGCAAGAGCGTGTAGTTCCAGTAAATTATTCAAAAATAATTAACATAGCATAGCTACATGTGTACCTTTAGTTCTTGAAGGAGTTGAAGACCATCTTCTTTCTCAAAACAAGCACACGCCAAGTTCACATATGTCCTCAAATTTGGATGGAGCCCTCTTTGATGGAGTTCTGGTATCATTAACTAAAAGTGTACACAATGCCATACAGTAAAAATAAATTCTAGAGAAAATTAGGATTATTTTAATTGTGCTTCGATAATTATAGAGACAGACATGGGGTTAGAGTCATTGTGCCTCCTTGCCTAAAGAACTGCAGTGATATTACCAGTGCTATATAATTATTAGAATTCACAAAGTCATAAAGATGCTGCTTTGAATACATTTTGTACACATTTATCAGCTTCATGTCAGTGAAACAACGATGATCCTTTAACCTGCGTTGAAACATAGAAATATTTGATGACAAAAAACAGTTCAAGCAATCAGAGTGGATACTACACATGAATTTACTGTTTTCGAATTTTCTATTTCCAACTGCACGCACCCACAAACAAAGATTTCTCAAAATGCATACGAATTAGGTAACTTATCATTGGTAAAAGTTACAGAAAAACTAAAGTGAATTAACAAAAGTATCTGCACATTATCCGTGAATCTCATTTTTAACTTTTACAGCAGAGTTTCATTTATTAAACTGTAGAATCTGTCAAATTGAGCTTAATTGTAGGATACTGCAATGTTGGGTGCATGTTTTCCTAACTCATAAATTATTTAAGTTAAATTATTATAACTCTGTTAAACCAATGATGTAACACTTATCATAATTGCTCTATTAGTAATGCATAACCTTGCGTGAATCACAGAGGTGTGTGTATGGTAAATACATGTATTTTATATTTTATCCAGTATATCCAAAATATGCACATGTTGGTTTATTCATGCTCGTATTCACGATGCAATTACAGTTTTCTCTTACCTTTGCTCCATGCAAGTCATTTCTCTTGGTTCTTCTTCTAATAATAGAATTACAAAATTCAATATCTGCTGAAACTCCTGCTGTGTCCATGACAACAAGCATCTCCTTCTCAGCTTTGAGAGTCATGGGTGTGCTTTCTAACAGCAGCGTGTAAGTTTTAATGTTTGGTTTCACATCATACTCTTTCATTCTAGCCAGCATGCCATCAACACCACCAATCAGTGCAAGTCTTGTTTCCGGTGTCCGACACTCACTCAAACTGTCAACCTGATCAATATATGGGAAGCGATCTAGCAAATTAGGCAGCCCAAATGGAAGACGAATCCCAGTTAGTTTTCCTTCTTGTTTGTTGCTAAGGGCAACATCTTTAGTTTCCACGGTATCTTTGATATCACTTTTCACCAGTTCAGTGCTAGTATGATTTTCTTGACTGATTGCCTCAATAACCTTCACTGATTTTAGACTTAGCATTTCCATATTATTTTTCAAATCATCCTCTTCTTCTGAATGTTTCTTTCCTGTATCCTCCTCTTCAACATTTCTTACCATCTTGGATTTCCTTGAAGAAACTACTTTTACTTTCTCTTTCTTTCTTTTCTTCATTTTTACTGGCTTACTGTAAAGCAGTATCTGATTGGCTGCTTCAACGTCGCCAATCCCACAATCCCGTACAGCTCGAAGAAGTAAATTGAAAGTTTCAGCCTCTGGTTCGATTCTCCGTGATAACATCTGTCTCCAAACCTTTTGTAAATACATATATATTTTAGTTCAAATAATAAAAAAAAATATAGAAATATTTTTTTTTGGTAATAATACTTTGTTAAATTACTTGCTTAATTCCCTATCCTCATCACAATAAATCACTAGTTGCAAGGCATGTGACAGTGTTGACCTTACAAGCTGGGGCGAGACAAGTGCTTTGGGGGGGTGATATACATTCAGTTATCAGCAACATACAGTCCTACACAGATATTTAAGTGTACAACTTCAGTTTTAAACCTAACATTTGATGATTTGGCATTTTAGGAATTCAAGTCAAAATATTAGAGAAAACTAAATTTAATTTAATCATACATATATAACAAAATATCACTGAAGAGAAACATCCAAAGTCATAAAAATATAATCCAGTGAAAATCTATATTTTCCATCAACTCATCAAAAATCAGTAAAAATAAACTCCATAGAAAACAACTATAATTTCTTTTCAGTGAAAATTAATTTCGGCTGAAATAAAATATTTTACAGTATTATACAATAATCCCTAGTTGTCTCACTGCATCACATTGGCAATGCTATCTATAATTGTTTGCATTCCCTACCTGAATGGCTAATCTAAATCCAGAATGTTTGTCAGCAATACAAGCCATCAACAGCACATTGAAACTATCAACTGATGGAGAGTGTCCAGCGATGATCATTTCATCAAAGACGTTAAAAGCCGACAGTATATCACCACATTTAGCACATGCTTTGACTTGAGCTCTGTAAGTAATATGATTCAGCTGGATTCCTTTCTCTTTTATCTGTTCTCTTAACTTATTGAGCCGAGAGAGTCCATCGGTTGTTGCCCATGGCGACTGGGCACATGCATTAAACAAAGCTGTGTAAGTGACCTCTGAGGGAGAGAGTCCTCGTCTCTTCATCTGAAATATGAGAAAACAAATCACTGTTTACAATAGTTGTGTACTGACTGCGATTCAACTCCTATCCATAACAATCCTATGATAAATATTTGAAATAGATGTGGTTGTTATCGAATATGCATGTCACAGGATTTGGTGTTATGAATATGATTTTTTTTTCCACAAAATTAACAACCATGTAAAGATCTCACCTCATTAAAGAGTTTGAATGCTTTCTTTGTATATCCAGCTCTACCACATGCACCAATCACAATGTTGTAATTATATTCTTCTGGTTGGACTCTGTCTTCCTTCAACATTCTTATTTCTAGCATAGCAATAGCTTCCTTCAGCTGAAAAAAACACATAGTAAGACAACAACTATTCGTACATTTCAGTTATTTGATGTATAACTTGCCTGCCTACTATAGTATACTAAAGTAAGTTAAAACTATCCAGTATATTGATTTCAGGATAGATTTTTTTTTGTAAATAATTTTTGTTTTTCCAGACATTAGTCATACATTGTTGTCTTTTAATTCTATGAACAGTTAACTTGTTATACATGTTTAATATTAATATTTATTTTTTGAAACAAATTGAAGTTGGTTCAAATTTGTATCAAATTTACAAACTCACTTTTCCATCCTTCACAAGTTTCTTCATTCGATTTGCATACCAAATCGGAGGGTAACGTCTTCGTCTCAACATTATTTCTTCATCTTCAGCATCAATCTCCAAATAATCATCATCTTGAAACTGAATAGAAAACAGTATCATAAAAGTTATTATAAATGACATATGGTGATCCCCATCCATAATCAAGTGCTTTGGAGTTCTATGGAGTCACCAAGATTACTGTTTGTCAGATAATCAATTTGAATTGAATCTTCAGAAAATAACAACATGGTCTTTCCATCAAATATATGTTGTCACTGTATAAAGTTTGATTGTATTCGACCCAGCCTTCATCATGAACCAGTTCTATAATGATTTAGCCCTATTTTACAGTCAAAATAGCAACCAGTTGGCCACATTTTATCGAATCAACAAACAACAAATATGAAAATGTTGGATATCATGGATTGTCATTGAACCTAGTTTGACAGACAGACATGCATAGATGGATGGATGGACAGACGGACGGACGGATCAATCTGGAATTCATATTCCTTGTTTTCAGACTTTGTCCAAATAACAAGACTGAAAGTAAATACGAAATTTACATGTAGTACAAATTAGTGTAAAGGTGCAGCTCTCAATTATTTCAATGTTGATTTTTGACAGAAACTGAAATGTACATTTTGATGAAAAAAATTGGCTTTTAATGAACATTTTGTCAAGACACAAAATTTGTATCTGGTATTTTGTTCACTAGTCTGACTGTGATTAAATCTTACAATGTGCTAACATCAATAAAACTTACTTTTCGGTTTTTATAATCATCAGTAACATCACCAAATATATCAGCATCAACCCTTGATTTCTCTCTTTCATTTCTATCAATGTGATGGGGCTTTGACCTTTCTTCATCAATGAACTCCTCCTCAATTACCTCATCATCCAACTTTCGATTACTAAATCTTTGATTTGATTGATATTTCTGTGAATACTGCTGAGTCATTGTTTTCTCATATTCCGATAATTTCAGTCTGTCTATTTTGTCATCAACTGATAGATTGGATTTTATGTCACCTTTATCTTGAGAGCTTTCCATGTCATCGTTTAATAACTTGTTGATATCTGAGACAGTTATATGTTTTCTGCCAACTCTTGGCTGCGAGGGCACACTTTCATCAAATTCTCTTGAGTGTTTCAGCACACCAGTGTGTAGATTAAGTGTACTTGACAAACTCAACAGACTGTTTTTATTCCAGAGTGGCAGTGCTGGGTGTGGATAAGCAGCTTTCCTGTTTAAGCGAGTCCTGGTTTGTAGATTTCTGTAAAGTGTTTTTGACAGTGTTTTATTCTTCAGCCAATTACTTGACGAAGCCAAATTCTTACTTGAAAAGCTATTCCATAAGTAGAGATTTGTAAAAGCATTACACTGCAAAACATGTTTAGAACTACGGAGCATTTTGATAGCTTTATCTTCAGTACATTACGTCAATGTTGTGTGCTGCTTGGAGATAAGAAAAAAAGTAAGTATCATTATTGGATCTATTAGTAGTACATGCACTTATATGTATAATACAGTGGTCTTTAATTGCACTTTATTTAGTGGGATACCTTCAATGCCTAAAATAATTTGCAAGGTGTTTTTTTTAATTGTCAATCAAATATATACTCACAATTAATGTCATACATTCGAAGTTTGGTTTTGGGCAAGGCAGTTTTGATTTTATTGGCATTTGGGGTCATTCATATAATTAGATTTTTAATTCACAAATTACACTAATGCAATAGTGGCTTATAATAACGCTATAAGATTGGTCTTTAGCCTTAAACTTTGAATCTCTTCAGCGCAAGGCATTATATAACTTCAGTCAGTGCCTACTTACGAGCGATAATGCTTTAATTCGTACTTGTGTCAACTCTGACAGTTTTTTCTTATCCAAATTTTGGACTAATCTTAGACGTTGTATTTATTAGTGTTCGTGTTTGTTATGTATTTAATATGGGACTTTTTTGGCCTGAATTAAAGGATTAATAATAATTAATAATAATAATGTAAGTTTTCCTGATACAAGTAGCTAAGAGGTCACTGCATGTAATATATTACAACTGTATAACTGGAGGATATGTTGTTATACAGCATGAATATTTAGGCATATGATGGTCATCACTTCCGACCATATCAAGAGCAGTTCCAAGTAGAACTCTATTGACATGCAACGTACGTACGTAACTTATCTCATAAATATATGACTGTATACATGATACAACGTTCTTCTGACAAAACCGATCGTGTAATAAATTATCTTTGCGTACGCACTTGGAGTGGCATAAATTAATCACATGTATAAATTGTTTTAACTCACAATATTACCGATGTACAGAGCAGACACATTCATTACACTGTAACACCAGAACTTCGGAAACATGTGCATTTAGTAAAGGTGAAAGGTTAGTCTAAACTGTACCACCTAACTTTACGGAAAAAAACACGTACCTACGCAAATATCTGACACGAGGGCATACATGAGACTGTGAAAGCGCCCCAATATTGTAATTGTGTTTAAACACGAATTAATTTTGAAACGAATAGATTTCTCAGTAGGGAGAAATTAGCTGATTTAGTTTTCCTGTCCATTTGTTGACGCCGAGGGCGGTCACGAAAACAAAAAAACAGAGCGCCATGAACGGCGTACGTTCCGAGTCGTACTGTTCAGGATTCAGAAAGTCACTACTGTTTTATTTAATCCATTTACACAAATTAAACAAGTAAACGTTCTATAACATATTAGCAAATATACCTAAGATTATATTTAATAACTTTTCTGTTTAATAACTTTATATTTAATAACTTTTTTTTTCGTCTTCTGAACACACATACTGATGATCAGTTGTTAGAGGGTCGGCAAGAGGTATTTTCATAAGAGTATTCAATTTTTTTTTATTTTCGCAATAATGTAATTTAAATAAATAAAAAAAACGGAAACATGGGCAAGGTGTAAAACGTAATCATCTATTTTATTCGTCCGTAATTTGTACAAAGATCTTTTTTTTATAAGCGTATATAGCACTTTCCACTTTAAATTTCGTACTTCGTATTGCAATTTTCAATTTTGATTCTTAAACACAAATTATCAAATATATTATGAAAAAAGTAAAATGTAATTAGGAATTTGTTTTATCTGTAAAGTGTAAAAACATATTTTTTACTGTAAATGGAACTTTTATTTTATTTCCTGTAATCCGTACCAGAAGTCGCCCCTGCCCCTTGTTATAATTATAATGATACGTGTATACATGATGGTTGCCATAGTTACGTAACCAGTGTATACATTTATTTGCTAACGAAGCTGTTTATTTCTAGATTAAATGAAGTTCAATATTCTGACTTCGTGATAAATCACCTACCTGTTCTTCGGCAACACCCACCACTTAGAAATAAACTTGCAGGATGGTGTTACGTTGCTATGACTACAGGCTC